GAATTGATTGTTTAACTAATATAATTTACTATTATTATTAAAATATTTATAGTTCTTATTTTAGATTCCGAACGTAACGAGGAATGTATTGATTTTACAATGATGTTTATTTTTATTTTTTTTTATGTGAACATTTTTTCTACCAAAAAGCTTATTCCGATTACTAAGTATAACACCTGTTCTGAAAGGAAATGTTTTCTGGGTGATACTTTAAAGAGCTCATTTTTTAAAATTGTCATTGATATTCAAGATAATGAGGAAAACCCGGTTCTTTAGGTAAAAAAAGATTGAAAGATTAAAAGGTTCACATTGGCAACCGTTTTTATTATTTTAATATTTTTTAAACAATCATTGTTGTCATGGAAACGCACATTGTTAAAAAAGTAATGCTGTATACCGAGCTATATTAAAATAAAATTAATTTTAATATAAATACATTCTTTGGTGGTAAAAACTTAAAATAAATAAATTGTTTTTTGAAAGATTTTATGATAGCCATTTATGGAGTTTATTTTTCTGAAAATGTTGATATATCAACTTATTATTTTTTATTAAATTCGTGATTTTTAATACAATTTTCAAGTTCAGAGAAAAATACCTATAATTATGCAACAAGCTGTAATCGCATTCTCTGATTGATTATTTTTATAACAATTAATTGATACACAGGAAAAACTCTGATAATTGTGCTTATCCATGCGCAGATAATATATTATACAAAATATGGCCGATAAACCTAAATATCATATTAAATTATATAATATTATACAGAGCAGGGACCGAAAATGGGTCTTACCTAGTAATACATACACTATACGGTTTACTAGAGATCTGCACGGGCCGGGCCATAATTTAAATATTATGGTTTGGTTATAGGTGGGATCGTAATATTATTCATTGGGCCGGGTCGTTCAAAAATAAAACTCATTCATTTAATTAGTAACATTATGTATATGTATTCTATATCTATAAATAATTTTATTACTAGACTGTATGATATTTATAAATAGATCACTGGTAAAAACTAATAATATAAACCGATAATATTTTACAGTTTTATCTTTATTATTGTGCGATTATGTTTTTCTTTTAATCATTTTATTATTTCGTGGACTGGCAAGACAACAATAAGTTAAGATAACAATAAATTAATTTTCAGAGTGGAAGGATGATTGCTTGCCAATAGACTCTTATAATGATTTTAACAATGAACTACTCGTATGAACTGAAAAATTGTTGATATTTTCTTAACCTTTTTCTTTTTTCTTTTGTAATAACATGTCATTATGTACCGTTCACGTAGGTCAAATCAAAATAATCTTGATCATCTTCAGACATATTTGTTTTTAAATAAGCCTGTAAATATACCTTTCACAACTTTATTTTATGGTAAAAATGCTAAAGAATGAAGTTTGATACAATAAGCTCGAAATTCATTATCTTCTCTATATAATGTTTCTAGTCCAAGTTTTTTAATTTTTCAATGTGTATTTTGTGCGAGGTGATAAAAGCAACCACTTATCTTTACGTAATGTCCTAAAATAATTTTTGCAGCTTGGATCGTAGGTTGTTTAAAATCCATGTGCAATTTCAAGGGATCTGGTTGTAAACTTCTATCTAAACAAGTGTATAGTAGAATGGATAGCATTTTTTTTGATTTTTATTTTTTACATAATAACATGTAAACATCAGTAATAAAAACGGATTTAATCTGTATTCTAAAAATGTATAAAGTTGCATAAATTCTCTAAGAGCTAAAGCAAAAATTTTACTTTAAATTAAAATGAATAAGACAAGAGACAACTGAAACAAATAACAATATACTGCACGAAATTTTCTATTTCGAACTTAAATTTAGATAAGTATAATATTCAATTTTAAATAATAAAACGTACAATTTAGATATACACTAGTTTAGGTACCTCTACTATATTATTATATGCACCTTTATAATATTATATTAATTGGAAAATACTATCGGTATAAATTATATTAATACTTTTATTTATAAAAGATAATACTATAATATTAAAAACCTATATTAGTAAGTAATATACAAGTTGGAAAATACTAAGAGGTAGGTATTAATAATTTTAGTTTTCTATATTATTAAATAAATATTAAATTATAATTATATTGATACCTATTAACACTTTTAAAAGTATTAATTGAAAACAAATGTGTTTTCTATATTATTTTTGTCTTTTTTTTCACTGTTTTTGCTTTTCTAGACTCGTATTTGTCGAGATATTTGCAGCGTAAAACGTATTTAGGTCAATCGTTAACCAAAAAATAAGTGCGTTTTAAATGTTATAGTCACCATGGTGACTGGTGCTGTGTTCGGGGGTAGTTGAATTCCCGGTTGACCGATCCTCATAAGAAATAAATAATACACAATAAGCGTGTTCTAAAATAAATTAAACTACGTTTATTTTTTTTATTAATAAAATGGCCATGGCTAATGGAACTTTTTTAATAGTACAATGCCTGTCCGTCCGTCCGTATGTCACAAGCGTATATTCACGGAAATCTGATAAATTCAATAATTTTTGATTTATTCAATATGTTTAAGTTTTTTTTCTTAAAAATTTTCTTATAAATTCTAGATGCCTGTTATGAATTTATGATTTGTCTATTTTATTTTAAATTCTGAGCGTAACGAGGGACCTATTGATTTTAGTAAGATGTTTATTTCTCTTTTTTTCTTTGTTTTAGTCTGTGCACACGTTTTTTCTTAGTAAACTTACTCCGATTTTTACGTGTAGCAACTTTTCTGAAAGTTCAAGTTGTCTATATGGTACAATGAAGACGTCACTTGATTTTTGGCGCCGTTTTTTAAATAAAAGCACTGAAGTGGGAAAAAAACGTAGGAAAATGTACAATTTTACAATTTCATTATTTTATAAAAACACGGACGTTTTCTACCAGAAAAATCACAAGATAACTTTTTTGTTGCCTTTTTGATTTAATTTCTTACGGTATCATCACCAAAACTTTTGAGATTTTAAAGAGTTTAAATTTTTGGGAGTTGTTTTGCTGTAATTAGGTTATACACGTAGAGACTTTAAACTTGGTTATAATTAGGGCAGAGTACTTGTAGCTCTAAAAAATCAGCAAACATGCACTTAAATATACAAAATATGCATTTTAAAATGAATATTTTTGAATAAAAAATAAGAATTTTTCTGTATGTACCTATTACTTTAATGAATAAATTTTATTTACAACTTTATTTAACAACTTATAAGTTACTATTAATTGTTTGGGTTTATTTTATAGGTTGTCTTATCTGAATACTTCTTCAAAACTGTAAACTTTCAACTTCTTCAACTACTAAAAAACACTTGACAAAATATTTTAGTTTCAAATATTGAAGATTAATACACATTTTTACATTGGAAGTTACATTGAACAACAAGATGTTTTTTTAAATTTTCAAACAGAAACCTTTTTCTATTGCAGCGAACAGCCCCTGAACATTGAAAAAGAATATCAACATCAACGGAATTTATAGGAGCAATTTATAATATGCTAAATCGCTGTCCCCGTAACGATAATATTTTGTGCATTGAACAATATTATTTTATCTGTCTATAAATAAAATTAATAATTCGACAATCAAACTAATCGACAACTTTGGAGACGTATTTCTAAGAAAAACATGCATCTGGGAAAAGTCAACAACCATATTCATATTATGATCAAAATTTAAAATAATTTTAAATTCAACGTTATTTTGCTTGTATAAATAAATAAATAAAAACGTTGATGAAAAAATAATAAATTATTAAAAAGATGCATCTAAAAGTATAAAATGGGAAAAATATGCCCTAAAAACGAAAAAAACGCAAAATATACATTTATATGCACAATAAAATTTCAAAACTAGCTTTGTGAAAGCATAAAACGTATTTGTTTCGCACTCTGCTATTTGTGTGACCATGCAAAAAAAAAATATGCGAATGCTACAAGTCCTTTACACTAGTTATACTCTTTTATTGGAATTACCTAGACGTGGTGAAATTTTCAAAATAATAAATGTTATGTTACAATGTAGTTCAATGGAATCCCCAGAGTATTCTTACATTCATTGATATGAATGCAGCTTATACAAATCGCTACAAAACTGATCAAATTTTAAAAACAAGCAGAAATTAATTCGGGGCTAAGTGCAATAAATTCATTAATTGATCAATAAAGGAAAAAAAATAAAATGAAGTTATTGCACTCAAGAATGAAGAGAAAAAAGTACAATTTACGACAGTTGAAGATATCAACGTTGCAAAAAAAATTATCCTCAGATTCGGCACTACTAAGCGAAAAAGAAAAGCAGTCATAAAACTCAAATCTCAAAACCTTCCGTAAATGAAACAAATGCAATAGTATCTGGATTAGATGTTAAAAGTGAGGGTATTCATATTCACGGTGTATTTGATCATTCATATGGTACAATATAAATAATAAATTTATAAACATTACTGATAAATGATAACATTTAATACGTCATAATTTAAGATATGACAAAATTATTGGTATAAATACTAGGCGCGTCGTCTAATCGGCCAAACCACGACCAGAATGACATTAATTGCGTTATTGGCGTTGCCTGAATGTTCCGGCTGCTTGAATAGTGCGTTGCATAAACAGCTATATTTTACCTTGGACACCACCAGATCGGTCAAGCTGTCGAGCAGGATCGTGGACGACTGGTTGCTGATAAGATATTGTTGTCGCTAAATTCAGGATTATTTTACGTGTTCAAATGTAAATTTTAGAAATATTAGGTACCTGCTTAATAACTACTATGGACAAAAAATAAGATAAAATCAATGAGTATACAATATTTGTTTTCAAAGAACATTTCGAGACTTATGGATATTGTTCGTTCATCTAATGAAAGTTTGTTTTTCAGCTTAATAATTAATGCAAACCTGTGTTTTACAGAAACAATATTACTATTAAAATATTTATCAATAAAATCATTACTGAGTTAATGATTTGGAGCATAGATTTTTGAAATTTTAATGCATACGTATAACACATTGTTGTCCTTTAAAACTGAAAAAAATAATTGTTCTCCATAGTAGTTTATTACTTAATAGTACCTAATGGTAATTTATTAGTAATAGTATTTAATTTCAAAGTTGTTGTACGATACGATCTGTATTTTACAAAAAAAACGAGCAGATAAAGATTTCCTTCTGTTCATTTTGTTATCGCGTCGCCTATGAGCTGTTAACTCCGGTAATTAACTAACTCGAATTGAGTTAAATCGGTTTTAACGGTGCGTGTAACCGTAATAATTGTAACCGTAGTGGCGTAGTATTAGCACAGATTATATTTTTCATATATATATGGTGGTAATAGATTAAATTACAAATATTGATATAAATTATGATAATAGATATGATATAAATCTGATGTTATAATTATTAACTGATAACGCAGCCAACAATTTTCCTGCAATGAGATAATCGTATACACTTATCTATGGTGTTCACTGGTCAAGCCTATCGATTCAGTCGTCGCTCGTCATTCACCAATTCATATTGTGTTCTGTTTAATTCATTGATATTTACTACGTTCATGACAACTTATAAGTATAGTTGTTCATGTTTATTATTCATTTGATGTTTTTGGGATTTTCTGTTGAACGGCTGCTATTGATAGTTGACCTTGGTTTGTCAATCTAGGTATGTATTTTTGTCATTTTTAAATTACCTTGGTATATTTTCATTATTAACTCTTGTTTTGTGTTTTTTAATTGTTTTTGACGTAATATGTTCTATTGCTAGACAATTGCGGTTACACGTATGTCGCACGAACATGCTGTTATTAATTTACGAACCCAATCTAAATAAACAATAGTCATTTAAATATTTTCATTTTTGTCAGTATATACACTTTAAGTTGTCGAAAATTTTATTGGTTACCCATTTACCTAGTTCTAACGAATTTGATTAACTTATTGTATCAGGTTACTTATATCGTTTTGTAGGTAGGCCAATATTTTTATTAAATACATTAATTTATGTTATTTATTTAAAAATATAATCATACATATGGTCTGTGAAAAATATTTGTTGATATTTACTTGATAAGCTAGTACAAATTGGGAATCTTTATCTCATATTTATTTGCATTTCATGCGACAACAATCTTCAAACAAATTGCATACTTATTATTATGACGTAATTTTTTGTGTATATTATTATTTTTATCATAGAAAACTACATCCTATATTTGTCAATTATTGTGCAATAAGTTTTTTTTTCATTTCTATTTTCCTACTTGGTTGAAGATTTTGGAATATACACAATGGAGCTTGGTGACTTACAAAGCAATACATCTATAAAAGATAAAAGATGTAATGAAGTTGAACTTCCAGATTTGTATTCAAAGTATGTGGTTTAGGATACATAATATTTTAATGTTATGATTTATCATTGCTTTTAATATTTTTTTTATTTTATAAATTCGGACACATCCTACTATTATAAGTAGGTTACCTATGTAGTTTTATCAAGAATCATACAAATATTTTACACCTACCATATACCTTGGAATATTTTCCCAATAAAACAATTTAAAATTGAATATTAATCTAAGTAGATATTTCTTATTTTTAATTTTAGAACTAATAAATTTGTTTAATAAAGTAGATAATAATAAACATTTTTTAATTTCAATTATATTAATTATATTAGTTATATACAACCTACTTTTATTTTATATATAATTACCTAACATTTGGAAAAATTAATATTTACTATATTTAAATATTTTATTGTTCGCACTTAATTTTGAATAAAATGAAAAGTATTTAGATCCAACTGAAGTCTGTGACTTAGTTCATTCTATTATATATATAAGAAGTAAAAGGACTATTTAACAAATTAGGTTTTTTTTTGCAATTAATACTAGAGCTTTGCAATAAAGTTTTTATATTTTATTCTTTTACTTTACAACTAAAAATTAAAACAATTATATTTTTTTATAATCAAGATTTTATAAATTAATTTTTAAAATTTAAATAAATTCAAATTTTTTCCTAATTTTACTTACGATAACTTATAAACATTTATCAGATTCATAGCTTAAATTAATATGAAAAGGATATTATCAAATTGTAAAATATTTCATGGAAAAATCTAATTAACCATTTGAAACTTTTATAAATATTTTTGGTCACCAAAACAGTTATTACATTTGTCCTTATACGCTCTGTGTATGAAAAAATGTGGGGTTTATTTGATGTGAATTTAGATTTTTACTATATACACTTTTTATAATTGATATTATGATTATTTAGGTATATTGATGATTTAATTCAATTTTTTATTTTCAGAAAATACTTTAAAATGTGGCTGAAAATAAAAGTACTCTTGTGGAAAAGCTTACAATTACGAAAAAGACATTGGTTTATAACTATTATAGAAATATTAATACCATGTTTATTATTTTATTTTATGAATTATTTAAAATCGAAGTTTTCTCCTGGTGGAATGACTCCAGAAGTTATAAATCAAACTATACCAGAACCTACTCCTGAATCAATGTTATATGAAGAATTTATTAGAGATCATTCATCAGCATATTTTATCTATACCCCAAAAACAAATGAAACTGACCAAATTATGAAAATAGTAAAAGAAAAATTGGATATTGATTCACATGACATTCATTCATCTTTAAATGAGTATGACATGATTCAAAAAATCAAAAAGAAATTTAAAAAAAATAATGTTACTTCAATGAACATGGAAAACAAAAAAGCATTTGGCATTGTATTTGAAGAAATTAAAAAATCCCAAATTTTTAAATACAAAATAAGAAGTTCAGAAGATTTATGGTTGACAGACTATTTGTTTCCTCCATTTGAATTACCTGGACCTATGGATTTTGGAAGCGTATACTTACACCAGGGTTTTCTCGCATTGCAATTGGTTTTAGACAAAGCATTTATTGAATTGGATCACTCAAATAACCTAAAATTTGAATTAAAAGATTATAATTTGGCTATTCAGTCCTATCCTTATGCAAAATTTATAAAGGATTCATCCTTTCAAATAATATTTCAAATTTTTTTTCCATTATTCACAGTTTTAAGTTTTTTATTAATGTGTTCTTATACAATAAAAAGAATTGTTGAAGAAAAAGATTCTGGTGTTAAAGAACTAATGAAAATGATGGGTCTTAAATCATGGATGATATGGACTGGATGGATATTACACAACTTGTTAGTGTATGTTATATCAATTACAGTTATCACTTTTATTTGTTGTTTCGGAGTATATGGTGATGAAGGAAAATTATTAAATTATACTAATCCATTACTCTTGTGGATTTTTCTTGTAATGTATTTAATTGCTGGTATATTTTTTTGTTTCGCAATTAGTAGTTTTTTTAATCGACCATTAATTGCTTTAATTTCTGGTAGCATGGCGTGGAGCCTTTCCTACACTATACCAACGAATATAATTAAATCCACAACTAACATTTTTATCAAAACAGTTTTTATGTTACTTCCAAATTTTGCAGTATTAAATGGTTTCATATCTATATCTGCACTTGAATCTCAAGGCAAAGGTCTTCAATTTTCAACCTTGTTTACTACTGGGAAAGGCAGTGACAGTTATTCTGTTGGTTTTGTTTTATTTATGTTTATAATTGACTGTGTCTTTTATGGATTTATTGCTTGGTATATAGACTCAGTAATGCCAGGAAAGTATGGCATCTCAAAACCATTATATTTCTTGTGTAATTGGTCTCAAAATAAAACTGAATCTAATCCAATGGTATCAATTAGTAAAAGCAGTAGTAAACTTTTTGAAAAACCTCCGGATGACTATGAAGTTGGAATTAGTGTACAGAATTTACATAAACATTTTGGAAATTTTCATGCAGTTAATGGTGTTAATTTAGACTTGTATAAAGGACAAATAACTGCCTTGTTAGGTCATAATGGTGCTGGAAAAACAACCACAATGTCCATTATTACAGGTATTTTTAATTTTAATCAATATCTTTGATAATTTATTAAAGTTGTACCTATATCAACTAATTTATAATTTTATAGGGTTATTTTCTCCATCATTTGGAAGTGTGAAAGTTAATGGGAATGATTTATTTAGTAATATTGATAAATTCAGAGAAAATCTTGGTTTATGTCCACAACATAATTTACTTTTTTCTTACTTAACATCACTTGATCATTTAATATTTTTTGGAATGGTTTGTAATACCTATAACTTTTTAATATTAACTTATAACATGATAACATAATTTTTACATTTGTTTTAGCTAAAAGGAATGCCATTATCTGAGGCCAGAACAGAAGGTTTAAATTTACTTAAACTTTTAAATATATTACAAAAGAAAAATGAATTAGTTAGTGCTCTTTCTGGAGGAATGAAAAGGAAGTTATCTCTTGCAATTGCATTAATTGGAAATCCTGAAGTAAAAAATATACTACAATATCGTTATCGTATTTTAAATGTATAAATTACTATAGATAATATTTTATTGTTTGTTTATAGATATTAATCTTAGATGAACCAACATCTGGAATGGATCCTGAATCACGAAGAGAAATGTGGGATTTACTTTTGGTAATATTTTATTATTCTTAATATATTAGGTTATTAATTAAATTTTGGTATGATTTATTGAATTAATGTTTTCCCTATACAGTACACACAAAAACCAATTAGTATATTACTAGTGCTTTAATAATGTGCTTAACACCATTTAGCGCCCTATAATCATCATTGATAAATTCTTAATTCTCGGTGCATATAGATGAACTCTATTTGATATTTGGTCTGTGTTGTTATAGGATATAAAATATAATATGTACAATATGTGTTTCACTTAAATGGTAATACAAAATATTTCTATTCAGTGACCTCAGATTAAAATGGGGTTTTTAAGAGAAAATAGAAAATACTGAAATATATTTTTTATAGATTTTCAAATTTCTTACCCTTTTAGCGTGTGTACGTGCAATAAACCTTATATTTTTTTGCAAATGGAAACACCTATTTTCAACACTAGATTTGGATAAATTTTTTTTTTTTTTAAGCAACTTGACGATGGTCAACAAGCCACCAGAAGACTGATTATACAGTACAACAGCTCAGTTGGGCATAGTGGGGACTTTGTGATCAGCCCTAGGTCATATCTATAGATTAGGCTTAAGTTAGCATTTACAAGGAAATGATGGAGGTTACTTCATTCAACCCACACCTTGGTCTTAATTATTATTTTTAAGTTCAATGTGAATTTGCCCTGTGAATGGGAAAGTAGAATTTTAACATATCACTTAATTATATTTATTAATAAATGATGGTAGCAGTGGGGAAGTATTATTGAAACAGATCCCTCACTGCTGTTGGTGTTAATAGGGAAAAAAAGGACACATAACTACATGGACATTTAAAAAACATGGTGATGGTTAAAAATATCAATAATTTAAATTAAAACTTTGACAAGCTTTAATTCGTCCCCAATTTTCAAGTTCAGGGAAAAATTTAATTCTGTAAATTGCTTAAAAAAAAAATCATCCATACCCCCAAATGTAGTGTTGAAAATAGTTGTTTCCATTTGGAAGTTGTCCGTAAAATATGGAAATAGCTGCTCAGCCAAGACTGAGCTTTATAGACAGCTCGTCAGAGTAGTGACTAGGACAGCCAAGCTTCATGTTAATGTTACCAAATCCTGCTTAACAGCGTTCCTCGCATCCGCAGCACCTTGGAAACCTATTTTACGGATAATCCTCATATATCATGTTAGTAATAATGAATATAAGGCAAAGTGTTTAAAATGATTAAATCTATTATTAATCAAAATTACTATATGTATTTATTATTATAATTTTGAATGCTATTGAATATAATTAATAATGAATTATAATTTTTAAAAGTACAATCATTTTTACTTGACGGTTTTATATACATTTTTATTTCTATTAGTCTTTCAGAGGATCTAGAACTATATTGATCACTACACATTTTATGGAAGAAGCTGATGTACTTGGTGATAGAATTGCAATCATGGATCATGGACAAGTTAAATGTTACGGGACATCTTTATTTTTAAAAAATGCTTATGGTATAGGTCAAATATAAATTTTAACTCTTTTTATTAACTAATAGTAAAATGTTTTAAAAATAAAAAGGAACTGGCTATAATTTGACAATTGTAAAAGAAGAACCATGTTCCGAGTTAAAAATTATGTCAGCAATAAAAGAAATAATACCAGATGCAGAAGTTCAGAGTACATTGACTGCTCAAATGATTATTAATTTACCGAATGAAACATCAGATCAATTTCCCGATCTATTTAGAATGTTGGAACTAAATAGAGAAGAATTCTGTATTAAAGGAATGGGTATATCTTGTACAACAATGGAAGAAGTTTTTTTAAGGTAATTACTAATTATAATATTTGTAGTTCATTATAATGCTGATGATAAACAATCTGAACTATTATTTTGATTCCTCCAACGAGTATTTTACCTAACTTTTGTTTTCTAAAAAAATGTAACGCTCAATATAAATAGTGTAACTAAGACTTAGAAGTATTTCAAAATTAGAATTTGTTTTAATCTTATTCTCAACATTTGTAAAAAATTAGTTCCTATAGTTTTCATTGTAGAAGTTAACTTGTTTAATTTATTTTCCAGAAGTTGTTTGATAGTATTTATAATAGCAGATTTAAAAAAATAAAATAAAAAATAAACAACACTTGATTGGCTTGTTTTTAACATAATATTTTTTTTTATTTTAACTTAATTTAATATAATTTAATTCAATTTTAAATGTATTTTAGATTCTAAGTGAATTTGGAATGCTATAATCAAAAATTCCCTGGCATGTTTGAATTTGTGTGTCAATTAAGTGTTAAAGAGTACTATTATTATTGGTATTGGTTTTTGTGACTTCTCAGCACATCTGTTTTTGTAGATTTTCTTTCACCTTCATTTTGACGTAACTGATAATTTTTAAACTATGTTTTTCGTATTTGTTAATTTTAAGATAGGCCAGTTGTACTTATTTTGAATTTGTAATAAAATCATCAAAAACGAAAAATATATTTTACATTTATAATTATCAAAACGAAGAAGGTTATAGAGAATCTACTCTAACAAATTTGCACAAAAGAACTTGAAGAAGTTAGTGACACAAATCCTACTATTCTCTGATGGTGCGTCTATGTATAATTTAAACAGTTAGGAAACCTTTGTTTAGGTTTCCTAACCACACTACGTATTGGTTTTATTACAGTATTAATTCAGTAATATTCAATAAGCGTGCTTATCCAATATTTTTTGGTTAAAGATTTTGTGTGGATTCAAATTCTGGATTTTGGAAATTTTAATGTAGTTTACTTTATTTTGACTTAATTATTTACTTTCTTAAGATATCATCGTCAACAATTTTGAGTTACTTTTGAGCTTAAACATTGTGAAAAATTTCAATATTCAAAATTATACACTTAAAAATTCCACAAATCAGAATTTGAGTGTATGCAAAATTTAACCAAAAATATGGGGTAAACACCCTTGGTGAATCATCCTGTTAATATATATATATATATAATTTTGACCAGAAGAATTTCCAATTGTCATTGATGGATGATGGTAACATTTTTGATCCAGTGAGATTTTTTTTTTATAAATGAGAAAATGACAAATTTACACTTTTTTTTTTAGTTTAATAAAAAAAAAAAATCCTTTTACGTAATATTTGGCCCTTGAGTTTATTAGTTTTATTTTGTTATTTATTTTGTTTTTATTGATGTTAAAATTGTTTTGTCTCTGAAGAAAATCTTGAAATCTATTATAAAAATAATAATAAAATAATAAAGTAAAAAAAAATTATTTAAATCATTAAAATGGTTAATACTCGTAAATAAATATAGAAATAAAAAATGTATATGTATAAAAATAAAATAAATAAATGAATTAATAGTTTGAATCAATAAATCAATATGTCTGATGATGATACTGATTATATCTTAATACTCCAGGCAACTCATTGATTCATTTATTTATTTTATTTTTATACGTATACATTTTTTATTTATATATTTATTTACTTTATTTAATAAAAAAAAATACTTATGAAACTAAACTTAAGTATTAATGTTTGAAAAATGTTGATGAATTTGGTTATTTTAACAATTTTTCATTAAAAAATAATCCAAAAAGGTAATTCTTAAAATTTGTAGTGGATAAGTGAAGTATCTCAACTTTTTCTAAATGTGATATAATTTTGAACTTATCATAAGTATTTAGGATACTCAAATTGTTCTAGTTTTTTCATTATCCTTTAATCAAATGATTAATTCTTATTTTTAAGACTTGATATTTTAGTTTTTTTTAATAGCAATATACAAATATCCAAAAACCTATACCCATAGGCACAAAATTGTTCAAAAATATTGTATGGCCAATTGTTTTGATAATATTCGGTAAAATAAAGAATGATTTTGAATAGTTTTTTTTTTGTTTTTTTTTTTCTATTATTAATCATTAATCTAGCATCTAGTATTTTAAATTAAATAAATTACCCTATATTTTCCCAACGTTTCTTTACAATCAGTGACTTACCCATTTAACCATGGGGTTTAATTTATAGTTTGTTCAATTCTAACTTTTATATTGATTTTGACATTTTAATTCAATATTAAATATGGTTAAATATGTACGTTGATTTTTTTTTTTTTTTTTTTCAAGAGCTGAAAGAAATATACTTGAAGATAATAATGAATTGTCTATTAACTCGCCAGTAGATTCTGGTAGTTATCAATTGTTTATAGTCAAACAAGACGGTTTCAATGTTATCCAAGTGACCAATGTAGTTCAACAATATGTGCCTGAATATACATTGATGGTCGATACTGAAATTCAAATTGTATATAGCCTACCGGCTAGAAAACGAAATCAATTTGGTTTTCTGTATTCTGCTCTTGAATTTCAGAAACAAGCTTTTAAAATAGATAATATTAAAATAACTAATCCAACTACAGGTGACATCTATCCAAAGTAATTTGATTTGATATTTGTCTATTATACTGTTATATGATTTAACCATGTACAACTTCTATTGCTTGTCATGTATTTTATATATTATATATATACCTTAATATAGGGTAAATGAAAACAATTCAATATTAAATAATGGTTCTGGTGACAACTATAACCAGCGGTGAGAAGTTAATTGCATGCTTGTTTATCCAATATCTGTTGTTTCTCTCAGATATATTTTATATTTCATATTGTTTTTGTTGTCATTGGTTTAATTATAATCACTAAGAGACTAAACAATAATAGACTGAGAAAAAACATTGTAATAATCCAATTTTAATTTTGACAAATAATACTTTTAATTTGTTTACATATTTTCTGCGTTTTTTAATAATTACTTTTTTATTCGCCGTCCATAATTAAATTAATTTTTTTAAAAATACAGTATATTCATTACATATTATCCCAGTGTATTGAAAATCTATTTCCTAAAAAAAAAAAAGAATAGTTAATTAAGAATTCAAAATAATAATTGGACGATCAGGCCACAGTGTAGCGTGTGCACTCATGCTAAGCCAATATTTATTTATTAAGCACTAAATACACAATGTAACAAACACTATTTTGCACTCAAAGCCACCTTATTAATTTTAATTCAACTCGATGTTTTAATATCAATTATGCTATAAGAAATAATTTATTATATAAGTATTTATTACTTTTTAGTATTTTTAGCACTTACTATGTGTTAATTGTTTTGAATCTTATAATTTTTTAGTGTAAATACTAATGAGGATCATGCAGATGAATTAAGGCAGTATTCTAATAATGATGTAACACAAAGTAATGATTTAAATATATTATTATTAGAGATGTGACGAACTGTTGAAAACCAAACTGAAAATTGCAAATAATCGGACCGAGTCAAATACCCAATAGTTTTGTTCGAAATTCATTCAATATCGATTCTGTGTGGTCACCAATACAATGTTCTGTTGAGGGATAGACAGGAAAGAAAAATTATATTTTTTTTGTATTAGTGGGTCTCATAATCATAAATCACGGAGCCAAGCAATTTGAGAATCTGGGTTTTTGACCTAATCTAACCTTTTAACATTTTAATTTTAGAGTTCGATAAAATATTTTAAAAATTCAGATAATTTCAAGTTTGAAAAAAATACATAGGTTTGGTTCAGTTAGGATTCATTAATTTTAAGTTTGTTCCGACCTTAAAAATCAGGGTTCGTAATATCTCTAATTATTATCATGCATTTTTATTATTTTATTATATTATTGCTACTATATTGTTTTTGTTTTTATTATTTTTAGCATTAATGCCAAAGTATACAAGTGGAATAAATTTGTTAATAAATCAGTTTAATGTGCTATTTAAAAAAAAAGTATTGTATTCTTATAGAAGATGGCTTTTGACGTTGGTTTTTGTAAGTTGTTACTGTCTGTTGTTTTTTAATGAATAAATATTATTTTTTGTTTTTTTTCCAGAGCATTGGTACAATTTTGTTAAGTATATTGACAATCCATTCCACTTATAATTTAATTAGAGTTTCTGAAACTCCTCGTGGATTGAACTTAGCATTAAGTACCTATACAGATAGCATTGTTTATTACCGTAATGGAGATTCTTTTCCCGAAAATTTGGAACCAACATTTGTACACATTTCTAAAACAAATAAAGCAACTGTGATTGAATCACTATCAAATAGTAATATAATAAATGGTATGAATCAATTTTGTAATTGCGATAATTTTAAGTTTACTTCAATAAAATAAATTTGAAACTTATTAATTTATATAGTATAATATAGTATAGTATAAATCAAGTAATACAATAACTAATGTATCCTCATATTCATATCATTTTAAGCATAAAATATTGAAAGTATTTACTAATCAATAATGAAACTATAAAATAAGTTTTGTGACTAATTAATAATTATTAAATAAAGCTGAACGATTTTTCAAACTCCTATTAAAGAGCTTAGTACATAAATAAAGCTAAAAATAAAAACACATCCTAGGATAATGGGGACAGGTGTAGCCACTGTTATAGATAATTTGATGTATATATAAGTAACGATAAACCATTGCTTATAAAAAAAAGATTCTGAGCAGAGTTCAGAATGATGCTTTGTCAACAAAATATATAATTTTATAGTAAAATAATTAAATAGGCTTTACACAATTTCTTTAATAATATTTGTATAATGTTATACTGATATTTCCAGTTTTCCTACATTTCCTTTAAATATTCTGGATTTTCACATTTTCTGAAAAAACTTAAGAAAATCAAAAATGATCTCCCTAAAGTACTTTCCTAGTCAAATTTCCTTTCAGAAAAATTGTTATCTTTATTAGATTAGATAAATTTTAACTGATACCTACATTTCTTATATTTTCCCATTTTTTTTTTTTTGTTTTTAAAATTTGATGAGAAAACTCTTGACCACACCGATTTCCTTTCAGAAAAGATGCTACATTTAAAAAATCTGAGCAAATTTTCTGGTGAAAAAGATAAAAAGATAAAAAAAACACAGATAAAAAAAAAAAATAAACATCTTTGTAAAACTATAAGCTTTTTCGTTTCACTCAGAATCTAAAATATAATATGTATTGAACTAATATATGCTTAAATAAGATCAGAGTTCAGAGTGCTTACAATTCAGAGATCATATTTAGCAATAAATATTTTTAATTTATCCTACCTTTAGTAATTAATCAACAAATATGTAATTTAATTTTTGCATATTGACTACGTTTCTGTACACAGAACTTACACACGTCATACAATTTAAAACAGTAATGAAAATTAAATATTTTATCATTGCATGATGGTGGTTATATATTATATTTTTATCTTCTATTTACAACTTTTACTTGTGTTTTAGATCTATTAGTGGTGTGTAATGAAGACGTGTTCAAGTATAGGAACAATCTTATGATAGCTGGTGACTTCAACAGAACAAATTCAACTGTCATATACAATAATATAGCTATTCACACTCCAGCTGTAGCTGTCAATCTTTATACAAATGCTCTATTACAAAAATTTTCTGGAAACAAAGAAGCATTTATCTCAACTGTTAACGAACCGATTCAACTTGAAATAGCGGTAAAGCATACAATTGATGTAATTTATTTTTATGTTTTATGAATTGAGTGTTTATTTTTAGAATGTGTGCGATTCGAGTTTTGTATATGAAGTAGTTATCCTTTGGTTAACTTCTTTCACTCCAGGGCTTCTTTTTTTAACTGGATACTTTATGGCTTTGCCGTTAAATGAAAGAGTGAGTGGTATAAAACACTTACAAATGATGACTAAACTTTCGCCAATTATGTATTGGGCTACATGTTTCCTTTGGGACTATTTATGTTACATAATTATTGTTATTTTATCATTGTCTGCCATGTATTCTTTTGACACACAACACATATTCACTAGTTCGAATGAACTTGGTAAGTTTATAAATTATAAAATGATTTTGAAACATTTTTTTACAAATAATTTTTTTTTTCTATAGGTGTTCTTCTAACATTAATGCTAATATACGGTTGGAGTTCAATATTCTTTGCTTATGTGTTTAGTTTTTTCAGAAAAAATCTAGTCAGCTCTATGTTATTGTTCATGTCTGTCAACTTTATAATAGGTTGTATACATATTTTATTTTATGAACTTGATCACATGGATAACATGTTTTGTATAATGTTTTTAGGGATGATTGTCAATAATGCGTTGTATTTTATGAAAGATTTGCTTATAATAGAAAATTTGAAAACACCTTATAATTTTTGGAATATATTAAAGCATATAATTTTTATTATTCCCTATTTCTCATATTCATCAAGTATTACAGGATTCATTGACATATCATGGAAAAACAACAGGTTTAAGGTCTGTAAATCATCAAATATGGAAGAAGCAAGTCATGGTTAGTAGTTTATTAATAGTTCTATTTAGTTTAAAAACTGTCTTGAATTTTTTTTTATATTATTAGGTTCAGTTGATTCAAAGCAAATAAATTATTTTGAATTTCAATCCAATCAAAATCCAGATGGTATTTTGGATCAAATATTTTATATGTTGTCTAGTAGCGTACTGTATATAGCCATCATTTTATTGTTCGATTATAAAATATTTGCTCGTTTATATCAATTGGGCTTTAATTTAATTTATGGCACCGGTGTCGTTTACAAAGATGATAATGAAGATCCAGATATTGGTGGTGAAAGAGACAAAGTAGATGCAGCTAAAATGCATTCATGTAATAATACTTTTATCAGAATATCTTTATCATAAATGGAATCTTTTATATTATATTAATTTATTATATTTTAGATGATGTTCAATCACCCATGCTGGTTGTTGATGACCTAGTTAAAAAGTTTAGTTTTAAATTTACTGGTGTTCGAGGTATAAGTTTTGCAGTAGATCCCGGTGAATGTTTTGGCTTATTAGGTGTTAATGGTGCTGGTAAAACTACTACATTCAAAATTTTGACTGGAGATATATTACCTTCCAAAGGTGATGCTTTTATTCAGACAGATAAATTATACAAACTTAGCTCTGATATAAATAAGGTAAATAATAAAATATAAATTTTAAAATACAACAATCTGATAAATATGTGTATAAGTATGATTGTATAGTATGTTTCTATGATTGGTTACTGTCCTCAATTTGATGCAATCAACGACCAACTTACTGGGAGAGAAACTTTAAATTTAATGGCTATTTTGAGAGGGATATCACCATTGAGTTCTAAAAAACATGTTGATAAATGGATTAAACTCTTGGGTAAGAATAATACACTTGTTTACATTTTGAAAAAATTATTTTATTTTTTTTTGTAACATTATTTTAGGTCTAGATGAATATAAGGATAGACTTAGTGGAATATACAGTGGGGGCAATAAAAGAAAATTAAACACAGCGATGGCATTGATTGGAGATCCCCCAGTTGTGTTTTTGGACGAACCTACTAGTGGAGTAGATCCAGTTTCTAGGCGTAATTTATGGCAATTATTGGCTGCCAGTCAAAGAGGTGGACAAGCTGTTGTACTTACATCCCATAGGTTGTAACAATTACATAATAATGTAATTATAGATATTATTAATTGTTTTATTTTATTCTAGTATGGATGAATGTGAAGCTCTTTGCAATCGTTTGACAATTATGGTGGATGGTGTAATGAAATGTATTGGCAATATACAGTATTTGAAAAATCGTTACGGGCAAGGTTTTACTGTAATGGTAAAATTATGTAATAGCAAAAACACAAATGTAACTGAATTAAAAGAAGATATAGTTCGCCAGTTTGCTCCACACATAGTCTTAAAGGATGAACATAAGGTAAAAAAGTTTGGTATCATGATTTTAATCTGTTTTTGAAATATAATGATTTATTCTTTAGCTTGCAATTTTAATATAATAGTATACATTTTAGCCATACCCAAAATATTTATATTTAATGTTAAATTAAGATTTAAACTGTATGAAGTTTTCTAAACAAGACTAACGGATTGTCTCATCTCGAATATCTGCGGGGAAAACAGGTTATGGGAGGTACACTGGCACATGATATTTGCAGATGATATATTATATAGCTTTGGTAGGAGACAATTTGAAAGAAGTTAATAATAGGCTTGAGGAATGAAGAGTAGTACTTGAAGGAAAAGGACTAAGGATAGGTAGATGTAAAATAAGTATGAGTTTAGAGAGACAGGGAAAGACAGCTAACAAGAATAAGCAGTTATAGGCAAGGTTGAGGGTTTTAAGTATCTAGGATCTTTTGTACGTACAAATGAATGGTGGTTTTTATGAGGATATGAAACATAGGATTAAGTGTGTTGGATAAAGTGGAGAGAAACATTGTATTTTATGTGGCAAGAGGATTCTAATGAAACTCAAAAGTAATTCTACAAAAGTGTGGTGAGACTGACTATATTTTATGCATTGTATTGTATATTGTATGTTTCAGAGTGTTGGGTGGAAGAATAGAACTGAGAATGAGCAGATATTGTAAAAATGTTTTAGTAGATCAGTTCAGTAATGAGAGAAAATAAGACAAGTGAAGAGTACATAAAATATTGTTTAAGTGTGGCTTCAACTAGACAAAATGAAAAAAGATAGCCCAAGATGAGTTGGATATGTCACAAGGAGAGATGAATCTGAAGCAGTAAGAATTGTAATGTAAATAAACATAGGAGAAAAGAGTTAGAGAGGAAAACACAAAGAAGTGGCTTGTGATATGATTAAGAATGATATGTGGACAGCCAGTGTATGCGAGGTGGGAGATTGGGTCAAATGAAAGTTTGGAATGAGGGTAATTAGAATTTTATAAGTAAAACTAGTAATTTGTCAACAATTCTGATTGTAAAGCATTATTCAGAGTTACTATCTTCAAACAGTAACTTCGACCAACTTGGATGTTCAGTTCAATTCTCATTCAGTAATTTGATCAGTTTATTATTTATTGTTACTGGATTATTTGCTACATCTATAATGTGTTTGTTATTATATCAGCAGTCATGATCCATGTTCATGAAACATATATATTTTATTCTGATAAAATCAAATAATTTTATATGCAAGAAGTAGAAAAAAAATAGTATTTTGTTATTACTTTAAATTCACTAAAACAAAAAATAGACATACTTTGCATGATAGGCCACTGCTGTAGGTGAGAGTTGGGAAGGTAGAGGGGAAATTTATTGTATATCTATGTGCAAAGATTAATCATTGTTAATGAAAAACGATTTTGAACAGAATTTGCTAATTTAAGTTTTGAAAGGTCATAAACTCATATTATAAATAATATAATTTGTACATTTTCCGGTTTTTCACTATATATTATGAAAATGCATGGAAAGATCAGAAACAGTGCTACACTTGAAAATCAAAGCAAAATTTCTAGTAGAACAATTGTTAACAGAAAACAAAAATATCAATGAAAAAACATTGTGAATTTATATCTTTTATATTATAATTGATGACTAATGAAAAATTAAATTCAAAATTATAATACTGTATACTATTTAATTTATTATTTTATCAATTAATTCTTTAATTATTATTATTTTAGGGATTGTTACATTATCATATTACTAGCCCTCGTATTCCATTGTCTGAGATATTTGGCCAGATGAAAGTTATTAAAGAAAATTACGATGCTGTAGAAGATTTTACTGTTGGTGACACCACACTGGAACAAGTATTCATAGCATTTGCCAAAAGACAAGCAGTTTTGAATGTAGCCTAATAAGAATCACACTCATTCTCTTCAAATAATGAATTATTTATTTAATTTATGTGATATTCTTCTTATGGTTATTTTATTATTATTTGCACAGTTCCTTTAATATCGTATGAGTATAAAATTGTTGAGCGTATTATTTTTTTTATATTTTAGATATATTTAATATTAAAATTGTTAAAATTTGATTTTTCTAACAAAATTGCATGTTATAAATGACTTGATTTTGTCTAAATAAATTTAATTGTTATAAATTAGTTAATATCTTTACAGCAGACTATAGCTTTTAATATCTAGTAATATATATTTCTTTAAATATTAATGTTTTTATAATATAATTAACTACACATTTTTAATGATTATAAAAATATGTACAATTATTTAGTAACTGATTTAAATGGCTAAACTAATCTTTAAAATATTAATTCTAAATACTATATTGTTTGAAATGTTTAATTTTGTACATAATAATATATAACTTATTTATTTATACTGGTTGAAGTGAATATATTGTTTTTCTTTTTTTTGTATAAAATAGTCCATGAAAAATGGACATTTTAAATCCGTTTTATCCATTAAATCCGTTCAATCCATTTTAAAAAAATTTTTCTTCAATGTTTCTTATTAGATTACAATTCTTCCTTTTCCCAATATTCAATGATTTTCATCATAACATCCACATATATTATTTTGGAATTAATAATTATAAAGTGGATACTACACAAAAATGTTTAGAAAATATTTTGTTTAGTTAAATAGTTGAACAATAAAATGATCTAATAATGATAAAAAATTAGAACCTACATTTATAATATTATTCTGGTGAATAGCTATCTCAAGAAGTTTGCCAACCTACTGTTCTGGGTACCATAATATCACCTTCATTTTTTGGAAATTATTGCTTTTTTGTAATCAGAAATATTTTTAAAATTTTCATTAAAGTTATTCCTCTTTTCAATTAAAACATAGCGTAGGTACATCTTCAACTCATACAAAACAATAAGAGAAATCTATACCGATTGACTTTATGTAATGATATGTATAGGTGTAAGGTTACAGACTTTAAGCAAATATGTTTTCAATCACATCTAGACAAACTACAAAATTTAAAACATTAATAGCACTTAACAATTGAATTGCAGTTTTTGATGTTTCAATATTCAAATTAATTTCTAATTGTTACAAATCATGGTAAATGGCCAAATAAAACTCTTTGAAACGAGTACTCTCTTCTGACGCTCAATCCAGAGAGTTTTGCACATTTTTATTAAATTAAACTGGCGGCTATCGGTAATGTATTGTTTGATGTATTCAATTAAAATATATGAGCTCTGTAAAGAAGTTGAAAAAAATGTAACGACCGAGGAAACCGTTCCGAATATTTCGATACAATTTCGTTTTAACACAATTTTGCAAGAGCTAAGTATTCTTATATTATCTATGTTGTTATTCTTATTATTACATTGTGTTCATTATGAGATAATAAATATTGAATCGATATCAATTATACCCTATTTTGAAATCCTTTTTGTCCCACCTGTAAATGGTTGACTTCAAATTATTGTCGTCAAGCCAGTATACGAGTTTTTACTATCTAGTTATTTTATTCATCTATGTCTACAGGTTACCTACGGTTTACGGAGTTGATAACCGTGATTCGGAACAATATGTTCGACACACAGATATATACCCTTAGACCATATAGTAAAATATGTTTTAAGTATATACCTAAATATTATAGTATAATAGTATTATTATATTATCTGTGTTTCGACGTGAGCTATTATTTGATAGTAGCAGTTGACTTTCGTAACTGTATTGTAGTCAGTCTTAGATTGTTGCGGTAATTCAATAGAACGATGGCGACCACAGCAATGATATATACATTGAAAAATATTGTAATATAAAATAGCTGAGAATATCGTTTTTTTTTTTTTTTTTTTATAATATGATACGTCAAACGCCATACGGCGCACGTCATTTCTCAGCGTCTTCCGTAAACAATTAGGTTATCTACAAGGGGGAATTTTCCGATTACATGTTCTGTAAAGCATGAAAAAATATGTTTCATTAGTATGAGTAGATGAAGTAGGACACTATAGATACTTAATAATATATAAATTGCCTTAATGCAAGACAAGTAGGTACAAACATATATCAAAACTCCATAAAAATATTTTTTGTTATAGGTATAAAATGGATACAACGAATCCTGGACGAAAAGTCGATTTTGAAAAAAGTCCGGACTCATTTTTTTACTGTCGGACTTAAAAATTTGAGCACATTTTTTAGGTAGAACAAAAATATTTGAAAATACAAATTATTTAATTTACAAAATTTAAATTTAAAAAAATTTAATTAATTTTCTAATTCAATATTTTATTTTATTATTCATTATACCTACAATTTACATTTATTTACAGTTTTGAGGTTTCTCCGTATCAACAAACAATATATGGAAATTGGAATATTTTTTTTTTGTTTTGGAGGTTTGTGGAGGTGTTGATACCATCGTAGGTCTACGTCGCCGTCGTGATAACGACGGCGGTTGATAGAAGATTAGGTACATAATTCACTCAACTTTACATTTTTGTTTTGTTCACGTTCACCTGTGCTCGTTGTGCATATCACGCCGTTGTCGTACGATCCGAGTATCCGATAGTACGATTTCTCTCTCGTCGACTGTTAGACGTAGGCATAGTTTTTTTTCTCCCAGTAATTGACACAGACGTGTGTTCAGGTGGCTATTCGATAATAGTCTGGTAACGGTTTTTTAACGACAACCATTAAATCTTTGTAGGTAGTCAGTAAGTGTTTTTGATGCTGTGTGTATGATATGATGTGTTACCAACAATGATGTTTTTCTTCTATTTACAGTTACCATGGCTAGGGGACAGCAAAAAGTGCAATCGCAGGCTAAGGCGGCCGAAAAACAAGCAAAGATGAAAAAACAGCAAGGACACAGTGCCAACGAGCAGAAAAAAGCCGCCCAGAAAGCATTAATTCATGCATGCTCTGTTTGCAAAGTAAGCATTTGTTGTGAACATACCATATTTTTCAATTGAATCAGAAAATCAGTTCATTCCCTCAATTCTAAATTTCGTCTTTTACAATAAATATTGGATGGATCAATTTTGTGATAAGTTTAAATTATTAAGTATTAACATATCTACTTAACATATAACAACTTATCTATACACTATATTTTATTAGATAGTAAATTTTTTAATTCAATAACGTTTCAACCCATAAGTTTAAAAAATAGGTTACTATACAAATTTATATACATAGGTACAATGAAAAATAGTTTTAGATGTTATAATTTATTAATTAGTAGTTATTTTTTTTCATTGTAAACAATGATAAACTATTTTAATTTTAATTACCTATATCTATGTTCTTCAAAAAGCTTACAAGGTTTTGTTTATTTTTTTCTTTCATCTGATATATTAAAATTTATTATTAATTAAACGTATTTGATCCTTGTTGTAAACACTAATTATTATAAATAGATATTACAAACTCAGTAATTATTTAAGTATTTTCAATATCACAAGTTAAGTCAAAATTATTACCCATCTTTAAATATTACTATTCTCCAAGTATGTCCTCCATCTCACTACCAAATCCATTTTACATTTCTTCTATTATACAACAACCTGATCACGTACTACCTTCTAATTGCAGTATTTCACTTGATGAAATATCTGACGGTTTACATTCACTAAATAAAAGCAAGTCTCCTGGCTCCAATGAGATTTCCAGTTACTTTCTAGCTAGTTTATCTGATGCCATAGCGTATCTGATATTCCTTTTATATAATAAATCACTTCGAGGGAAGAGTGTTCCTATCAATTTGGAAAATAAGTTCAGTTACCCCAGTCTTTAAAAAAAGAGACTAGTCTAAAATTAAAAATAATTGTCTAATCTCTAGTTTAGGACAAATAGGCGAGTTGTTAAAGAAATTGGTTCTTAGACACATACTTAGTCCTAATAATATTATACTAAGTAATAGCCAACATGGCTTTAGACTGTACTCTGACCTTTAATATGTTTCTACAACAATTTATTCTTGACTCCTTCAAAGAAAAATGTCAAGTTGATGTAATTTACATCAATTTTGGGAAGGCCTTTGATTACGTTGATCATAAGTTACTGATCATTGTTTTAAAGAAATTAGGGTTTGGTAATCCCTTATTATCTTGGTTTAATTCATACCTTGTGAATAGATCATAGCCACAAACTTCCGCCATCTGCTGATTTTTTCTTTTCATCTTTAAATGAATTGTTAAATACCTGTGTAAATATTGATATATAATACTTAGAATGCCAAGTTAATTTTAATTTTTGCTCTAGAATATATTTACTGTGTTTTTTGTTTATTGTATTTTAAGCCTTATTGTACTATTGGGCCCGTTTTATTCACTGAATACATTTTTAAAAATTATCTATTTTTATCTATTTAACCCATTATTATTATTTCGTTTTATAAATAATTTATCACTCTATCATTTTTTGAGCTACCCAATTGTTTGTATAAATATAAAATCTTTATTCGTGAATTAATTAGGTATTTATTAAAAATGTATTATTTTGAGTTAAATTGATTCTATTTGATTATTGTATAATATTGAGATGATTTTTTTTTTTTTTTTTGGGGGGGGGGTTATTATATTGTTTATGCAAATTCAATTTTAACTAAGATAAAAATCAATTTCATAACTTATAGAATTTGGATTATTAATTTGTCTATTCACAGTTTTGTATATTTTAACAGGTAAATGGTAAAAAAGTCTGAGAAAAAAAATATATAATATACTACTTATTGTAAATTATGTTTATAACTATTATTATAAAGTTATTTAGTTTATTTTATAAAAAAAAAAAAAAAAAATATTTTCGAATGTTTTATTATAATAAGTAGGTATGCAATATATATTTATACTAACAACATCAGGTGACCACCCGGGTTCTTTGTTATTATTATCACAATTTCATAGTTATACTGAAATTATATTGGCCTAGAATTTTATAGTCAAAACTGGAAACATTTTATGATTACATTTAATTATTTATAGATTTAATTAGGTTTATCGCAGGTATCATTATGTCAACAAATTCAACTTACATCTTATAACTTATTTAATACAGACTACTGGGTAATAAGTGTACAACTCTACTAATTGATATTGTTCGTCTATAGTTATGCTAATCATTTTTTTTTACAATGAATTAATTATAAATGATAAAAAAGTATCCATGGTATTACTTTGCATTTACAATCCAGCATTAGTTAGTAAATAGTTGTAAGATAGAAATGTTTTCCAGAAAATATCAAAGGAGTAAGAATAATTTTATTGTATCAATAATGTAAATTAATTTTTTTAAATATTTATTTTTCCTTGCTTTTTTTTAAACAATTTTTATGATTTTAACTGAATCATTTAATAATAATAGTTATGAGCTTAATATGTAGTATATATAATAAATAATATATTTTCAAATTATTTTTCCCAAACTTTTATTCTTAATTTCATTTTATCAATTTTTAGTTGAGTATAGTTTTATTTAGTCTTTAAAAATACAATTTCAAAGTTTTTGAATATTAAAATACACCAAATAAATTAAAAATAATTATTTTGTTTTGTATCTATTATAGCACATAAGTGCAGGCATATTTGTCTGTGTTTTAGAGCACAAAACTATTAACATGTATTCCTGAATAATAAAATGTAAATTATTAATACAATTTGGATACATTAAAATAGTGGTCTTTGATTCAATATACAGAGTTTACAGAGCTCCAAACAAATCAAATATATCAGTTTGGGCATTAATATTTAATTTGAAAATAATATTAGCAGTATCTATTAACTTTAAATTATTGTTTTTAGATAGTATTATATCATTTCAAGTAATAATGCAATAGATATCTAACTATATTAAATGCCACTAATAATTAATGATAATATTTTAATCATTTTATAAAGTTTGGATTTGTCATAAAGCCCGTGGAATCTAGATCACTAGGTCTGATATTAAACATATGCTATGTAATTTGACTTGGAATTATTTAATATTGATTAAAATCCATCTAAGTACTTATACATTATTAGAGCACGAAGTTATATTCTCTTAAAATAGCCAAAATATGATGTTTATATTCTATTTCAAATTTTGAATACATGCTTGTAATATTCTCTAAAAATATTATTAAAATATATTTTTATATAATTATATTTTCTTAACATCAAAATATGTGCTAATATGCAAAACTAATTTAATAAATAATAATAAACTAATTTTTTTGGCATTTCATTAAATTAAAACTTGTGAATTAAAGCACATGTCACATAATAAAAATAAAATGATTTATTAATTCAAATAGACTTCAAATTCAAAACAATAACTCGCTATCACAGAAGGAAAACATGTGATAATTTATGTGGTAATAAAATCAATTATCAATTATTTGGAAAGTAGGTAGTCTGTTGTCTGCAAAATGATAACTAGATATCAAAACTTCGACTAACAGGACATGTATCAACGTCATTTATGTATATGATAAACATTAAAATAATAATTTTTCATTTCATTATGATTTTTCAATTATTAAACCGTAGTGGCATTGATAACTATTGTATGACATACACATTAATAAATTATTAAAAAAAAGAAAAAATTGATCGTAGCGGTTGAAATGCACATAATTTTTTAATTACTGAAAATATTTCAATTCATTAATTTCTAATTAGTCAAATATGCAAAAAAATTATTTTTTATGAACATATTGTCTTAACATCAAAATATGAAATTATGTGCAAAATAACATTTTGTACACAGATTCTTTTTACTGTGTATCATTGACATATCTTACTCTTGTGGTTGTCCATTAAAAATATATTTTTACATAGAAATCCACTCTCTATACATTATTATCAATTTGATATTTAGATTTATTATACTAATATGGTAATTTTGTTATGTTATTTTTTGTTATATACTGTTATTATTAAATATTATAGTTTATAGAACATTTTTAATAACAATAATTATTTTTATTTCTAGGCACAAATGCCTGATCCTAAAACGTATAAACAACACTTTGAAAACAAACATCCTAAAAATACTATGCCTGAAGAACTGAAAGATGTGTGATGGATTGACGGATCTGTTATGACGATTAGACTTTTTATGATCGTGTGTACAAATGAATGAAATACCTAAATTAAGTAATATTAAAGTTTTTTAACTGCTTAATATATCTAAATATTGTTTTTTTTTTTTTTCATAACATTTTTCCTTTACACTGTGTGAAACTTGAAAAATAGTATGTAACAATGTTTCCTGTATGGTTAGTTAATTAAATTTATAGTATATGACAGTTGACACAAGTATATTACTGAAGTCCATTATAATATCCTGTTTGGGGTTTGAAATACCAAATTTATATAATTAAGTAATAGCACTACATATTTTGAATCGTAATATTAAAATATAAATATAATTAAATACTTGTAAATTTAACATGTTTTATCTTAGTTTTCCTTGAATTTTCTTTTATCACAAAAAATAAATGTACAGTATCTTAATTATTTTACTAATCAAATAAAAGTATAAAAAAAATATAAATAACTTAAATGAATCCAAACAAAATTAACTAATCTAATTTTAACAAAATAATTAATAAATGGTATCCAGTATTACTTATGTACAATGTTTGGGACTTATACTATTTACTGACCTTTTAGTGAGTCATTAAAGTCACTTTACTTAAAAAAAATTAATCAATTTTTATTTAATATTGCTTATTAATACTAAGAATGCCACATTTTTGGAAACCATTGTAGAATAAACTGATCTTAGATTATAAATATTATCATACAAACTTAAGATAAAATTTTAAAATAATTACATCAACTATTAATTTTATAGTGTGTACTAATCGAGAAATAATTTGGATGGAACTGTATTTTCAGAAAAACTTTCTTTCAAATGTAAAATAAAAATGTTTAAATTAAGAAAAAGTGAAAACTAATACCAAAAAACCTAAATTATTATAAATTAAAAAAAAATGTTATGACTTCACTAATTAAGGAAATTCAATATGAGTGTGTTTTGTAATAGACCTATATTATGCTAATTGTATTTACTGTCATAGTAATAGAATGCAATTTCTGAAGTTATGTTTGAATTTGTCTTGAAAAATATTTTAAAATACTTTTATTAAATCAAACTCAAACCCTTCAAAATATATTTTAGAATTTTAAAATTATAAAATTATATTAAACAAAAAACAAATTTAAAAAGTCGATTTCAAGTATACTTCATGGCTCACTCGAATATGTTTTCCCAACTTTTTTTTTTGATAGCTATAGAATAGTCTGTATAATTAACAAATGATTGATATTTTTAGATTAAAAAAAAAACATCCATTTGAATACAATGTACCCATTTTCCATAAATGGTTATCTAGCAGTCTTTAAAACTCTTATCATTAAGTTGATTATTAAAATGTAATAAAATAAAATAAAATTTTCAAATTGTAAACAATTTGGACAACAATCACCAATTTCCTTAAAAAATAAATTATCACTTTTTTCACTTTTCATTATTTTAAAAATAATAATCACTGGCTTTTGATTGTTTTTTACTTAATCTAACCTTGATATAAAATCTAGTAGTGTTATGGACATTTATGTCTTGTTAAAATGAGTTCTAATGTGAATTTTAAAATTTTTTAAGTTCTTTTTTTAATAGTTTTTAAAAATATGTTTTATTGCTGGTTCATACTTTATAGGGCTTGTTAAGATTTTGAAGTACTTTTTTTTTGGTTGATTAAATTTTCTTCAAGTCGAAAAACCTACTTATGAGTTATGAATCTCAATAATACAATTTATTCCAAATTTAAATTGAAAATTTTATTAATTTTAACTACGAAATAGTATATGTACAATTTTGTGCATATTTTGATTTGATTGCTAGAAATCTAGAATAATAGCGTATATTAAATATATTTTACCCTATGATAATATGTAGTAAATTACAGGTGTTTGGATCATAGTTTAAAATGTATTAGGTATTTATTTTACAGTAGTTTCAAGGGTTAAATAATATAAACAAACAAATTGAGGTATAAATCGTAAATATTTTACATACAAATTTAATTTCTGCAAGTTGGTATCTATCTATTTCTGTTTTCATATTGTGAATCGAACATTTTGGATGAAACATGGAATTGAGAACTATGCAGTGTGCAATATCATTGATTTTATAATTATGTGCATATAGATAGTTAATAGATCTATGGTACTACTCAGTAGCATAAATCAAGTGTAGGTAGATTATAAGATTTTTTTTTCTTATTTAAATTATATTTTTTATTCCAAATTTGATTGTGTTTTCAAAATTTGCCACTAGTACTTAAATTTTGTCTTTTAGTAAAAATAAATGTTGAAATGGACAATTTGAATTTCTTTTATTCATTATTGTCAATAGGTGCAGACTGTTAAAAAGTACAGGGATACTGTACATAATTTTAGGACAAATATTAATATTTTTGAGGTAAAAAAAAGAAAAGTTAATACTGGTCACTGATATGTCATTGCAAAAAAAAAAAACACGATTTTGAGCGGAGTAGTATTAGTTGTGTTTGTTATCCAGCTAACTCAGAAATCAATAAAAATAAAAATAAAAAAGTACTGAAGGGGTGAACTTGAAAATGCTGACTAACGTTTTAAATAGATTTTACCATCACAGAAATTTTAAACGTTTTATGGAATTGAGGTACTGTAAATATTAGATCCATTGTCTAACCAAGTATATTCTATGAAAATTAATTTTTTGGAAAAAATATCAGGAATTTTGAAAAATATTTCAAATAAAGTTCCACGAAACAAATAATTCATTTCTTTTAAGGTATAATATGAACAAATCTAACCATTTTTACTAATCTAAGTATTTAACAAAAAAAAATTCTTTATAAAAATAATGGTTTCTTCGCTATACTCAGAATTATGTTTCAAATGTCAAATTTTTTATTTGTTAGTATATTCTATGATAATTTGAAGATCTATATAAATAATTAATAACAAAAGTTTTGATTTGATTGGCGTTTATGTTAATGACCTGTTTCCTACTGTAAATAGAATACTCAAAACAACTATTCAGCGCGACAGTAGTGACGCGAAAAAATAAAAAAATAATAGCGTAGTAGTCACTAACGGATTAACATATAGTAACAGGAAACCGAGTTGTACCATTGAAAAACCGTGCTGACTTGTGTTAATCCATTGGCCAGTTCTACAGGGCAAACGGCTGAATATAATATAAGGTCATTTAAGGTATCAATCGATCAGAAATACTATGCGGATGGATACAGGGGAATTCGCAAGCAGATTGGTTTGATGGATTAAAAGTTACAACCAAAAATGTTCAAGTACTTTTAAGTCCGATTTTTCGTTTTCGACGAAAATATTGTAAAATATCTACACTCCCGTTGCTGCGGCGACAACAATGTAATACGTTAAATGTAATTGTCCCCCGATCAGCCGTTTGTCCATCCCACTACTTTCATTGTTGCGGCGAAGACGATGCCGGATCCTCTATATTAAGGTCTATTTAAACACATCCGTTCAGTATCAGTGCCGTTCGTTCCGTGTCCGACGTTTAAAGTTTGTTTACTTATCACGAAATGGGCATGTTTATACATGTCCGTTCCGTATCCGCACTGTCCGTTTCCGTATTTTAAAATTTGTCGGAGACAATGTTTTTGGGGATTTCACTGATACGGATATAGAAAATACGGAGCAATTTACGGACACGGAACGGTTATGTGTAAATACTGTTGCACTGATACTAAACGGACGTTACGGACACGGAACGGTTATGTGTAAATAGACCTTTAAAATTTGTCGGAGACAATGTTTTTGGGGATTTCACTTATACGGATATGAAAAATACGGTGAATACATATACATATTAATATGCACTGAACGGGCACGGACACGGAACGGTTATGTGTAAATAGACGTTTAGGTTTCTATTTAACGACCAGTTTTGAATTCAAAATTCATCTTCAAGTTTAACAAAGTTAAATAACGTCGCGACTTTTTTTTTATAAAAAAATCTCACCAAAAACACTGCGTTATAACTCCGTGTAAGAAAAATTGAATTTAAGTAATGATTAAATCTTTAAAAAACGTTATATAATATGGAAACTAAGTAAAATGCCATTTTATAATATTACAAACATCAAATAACAGACAAATAAGATTATTTGTAAAATTAAATACTTAGTCAACATATTGTATATAAATTATTAATTTAATTAAGAAACTTACTTTAGTGGTTATTTATTTGTATTTTTTTAAATAAACTTACACGTCCTGTCAAGTAGTTAAACAATATGTTGACTAAATATTTAACTTTACAATTGATCTTGTTTATCGTCATAGGTGTTTTTAATATTATAAAATTACATTTTACTTACCATATTATATCACGTCTTTTAAAGATTTAATCATTACTCAATTTACTTTTTTTTAACTTGGCAATTTTTCATACGGAGTAATAACAAAGTGTTTTTGGTTTGATTTATATTTACAAATACTATGAATGACAAACATGTTATTTATTTTCTTAATTTTACCATACAAAATTATAAGGTTATATTTTTATTGATTCGCTTAAATAAACGTTAGGGCATGGGATATGGCTCCTGATTTGTCGAAAATCTCCCTTGTCTAATTTAATTAATTTAATATTTAACTAAATGATCAAAACACATAATTTAAAAGCATTATAATAGAATTTTAGTTTCTAGCAGTCGTTTTACAATAATGTTTGTTTTATACATTTTACAAAATAAAATGAATCTAACAGAATTCAAGTGTGTTATAAGCAAAAATTAGCAATGATATACTGTTGCTAAAGAAAAACGATTCTGAGCGCAGTTCAGTTGATAATGGTGGTTTATCAACAATATACAACGTCATATTAAGGTAAAATAATTAAATAGATAATATATATTTTCTTTGATAATATTTGTTTAATATTGTACCGATTTTATTGTTTTTCCTGAGTTTTTTGGGTTTTTCGCATTTGCTAGGAAAACTTCTAGGAAAATTGAAAAATGACCTTCCTAAAGTACCTTTTTAGTTAGATTTCCTTCCAGAAAAATTACTATCATTGTAAATCGAAGCAAAATTACTGGTAGAAAAGTTGTCTACAGAAAAAAAAATCATAATATTCTGCTAATATATTTTGTACATTTTTCCGTTTTTTGTCCGCTTTTCACGATTTTTTCCATTAATTTGGAAAATCAAAAAATTACCCCCCCAAAGTACCTTTTCAGTCAGATTTTCTTTCAGAAAAAGTGAAATAATTTTAAATCTGAGCGAAATTGCTGGTAGAAAAGTTGTACATAGAAAAAAAGGCTATAATATTTTTTTACTAATACCTATATTTAGTAAATTTTCCGTTCTTCCGAAATTTTATCCCGTTTTTCCCAGATATTATGAAAACAGCTTGAAAAATCAAAAATTTACCTCTCCTAAATTATCATGGAGATAAAATTTTCTTTCAGAAAATTAGCTACACTTGATACGTCGGAACAATTTTTCTGCCAGAAATGTTTGCACAACAAATCGAGAGGTATTTTGTGATTAAAATAGTTTCAGTGAACGATGGCTTCGGTCTCTAGGTACACCTAAAATAAATAAATTTTTTCCTTGTTTAAGTAAAAGGGAAACAAATGCAAACAATTTTTTTTCGAAACACTTGTTTGAATTCGGGACCCCTAGGATGATAGGAGGCATATATTACTATTAGATAACGGTAAATAATCTTTAAGGAAGACAACATAGAGTTATTTAACATGACATATAATAGCCGCATAATATCAGAACTTCAAAAAGCTATAATTTCAAAACTTAGTCTGTTCGCTTAATTCTGACTTCACCATCGTTCTTAAATCAAAAATATACATATTCTCAAAATAAAAAAATGAAAAATTAGTTTTGTTCCACATAACGATTTTCATCAAAATTTGATATTAAAATTCCTTTATAAAAAAAAATAGTTCATTAAATTTATTTATTTTTTTTTTACCAAAATAAGACTCTTAATAAACCTCCTGTTAAATTTTTACGCATTTCTTTTAAGTCTAACAATTTTACCACATATATCCTACCAAATAAAAATTACGTATAAAACTCGCAAAATTCAAATGTCCACAAATAGCTCAAAAACGGTTTAAATTTTTTGAAAATTTTACCAGGTCTAGAAAAGGTAAATATAACTTTTCTGCCCAAATTTCAAGTCTCTACAAATATTTTAAACTGAATTACAACAAAAATTACAAAATTCAAATAATAATAAAATCATTATTTTCGTAAATTTCTCTTTTTCTTACGGTTTATCCTGGTTTTTCCCAGATATTATAAAAACCGCTTGGAAAATCAAAAAATGACCTTCAAAAAGTGCCATGTAGACAGTATTTTTAGAAATAGTGCCTTGCGTACGCCGTATATATCGGAGTAAGATTTCTGGTAGAATTTTCATACCCAAAATAAAAAATGAAAAAAAATAAACATCTTTGTGAAAGAATCTTCTCTACATTAAGAATCTAAATTATCGTTCCCGGTTAATATAGAAATTTGGTTACACTGCTGAATTTCATCAATATTATAGACGTTGGTCACACTGTCAAAAATGATGCTTTACACACTTCCACGACAGTTTGTGCATTTTGCCGCGGCGGTGTCCACTATCCGCCATTTTCTCCTTATTTTCATTAAGGTGCTGACGGTAAACGGCTATCGATTTTTGTGTTTGTACTATTTTTATTTTGCTGTTTACCGCTGTTTATTGTCGTCCGCGTCATCATTATGCGATGAACGTGTAAGTGTTGTATCTTCTTGCGCGCAATTGTGGATTTCAAAGTTCATTGTACATACAACGGACGAGCCGATTCACAATGAGTTACAGTAGACCACCGCCGAGAATTGAAGGCATGGTGTCGTTGAAAGTCGACAACCTCACCTACAGGACAACTCCGGAAGATTTGAGAAGAGTGTTCGAACGATGCGGTGAAGTTGGAGACATTTATATTCCTCGAGATCGTTTCACTCGAGAAAGCAGAGGATTCGCTTTTGTTAGGTATAATATGCTTCTTAACTCTGTTAAGTGCTGTTTCATATTATTTCTGCTGCCGTTTGTATTGTTTATAGCGCTTTGCTAGGCATAATTATTGACGCTTATTTTAATATAATTTGGATGTGTTCAAAAATGATTATAAAATTAAAATTGAGCTCGATACAAATTAATATTGTCCATAAGGTAGAGCTTCCTCATTAGTTGGGTCGAGGTTCCTTTTAGTGGCAATATGCAATGATCCAAAACTTTGATCTTATCTGATTTGACACATCAACGTATTGAGTTTTTTTTGAGGTTTTACAACTAAATTAAGCACAATATTTATATGTTGTGTTTAGGATATTTTATTCAATATTGTTTCAGGTTTTACGATAAACGTGATGCAGAAGATGCATTAGATGCAATGGATGGTCGCATGTTGGATGGTAGGGAATTAAGAGTTCAAATGGCTCGATATGGTCGTCCTACTTCGCCGTATAGACGACGCCGTAGAAGGTAGAAATTTACAAATACAAATAAGTATTTTAATAATTTAATTTTAATATGGCTTTTACAATACGTACTTTAAATGCAGCAAACTGGAATATCTAAATATTATTTTGACTATATACTACTTATGGAATAACTAAACCATGGTAGTACATATCAACTCACTATCGTCGCTTTGTATAAAAAGAATGCATCTATAAACTAATAGAATTATCAGTGTCGTCTCATCTCCAATATTTTTTTTATACCTATGATACTGTTATCTATTACATGATATCAAAGTACTAAAAACAATGTTAATGTCAAGTATTAGAACTTATTCTCACAATTTATTGTAGTTTTCTATGTTCTTGTTTGTTATTATCCTGTCACTAGATGCTATCTGTTACCGATTTCAAGTGCATTGATTAAAATAATGTCAAACTTTTTCTGTTAGTTTTCTTTGATCTATTTTGTGCATTTTTAATTTGCGGATCACGTCAAGTGTTAACCCTTCTGAAAAATATTAATCCTGGGATGGTAACAAACAAGTATTGTTTTTATTCCAAGCGACGATATGCCATGTCTAGGTAATTTGTAAATAAATATTGCTGTAATCATTTTTTTATTTTATACAATTTTGAGTTTCATTGATAATATCTTTAAAGAGCTAACTTGTTATTTTTAATTATTTTTCATTTTACCTTAAAAATTAAAATAACCAAGACAAATTACTTTATTTTGTTAAAAGAGCTTTGTAAAAACCCATTGATAGCAGCAACACTATTTTCAGGTGTGGGGTGTAATTGGGGAGTTCGGCTGAATGCTGTGGCTGAGGCTGAGCTAAGGTGTAATTATCGTGCTGACCGCAGCAGAAGGCGAGGGCGTTGTTCCTGCCAATAGCAGATGCGTGCTGAGTGCTGACTAATGCTGATCAGCCGAGTGCCAGTTGCAGATTTCAGTTTGCTGTCTTAAAAAAAAAAAAAAAAACTAAACAAAGCATTCCTGAGTCATCCTGGCAACTCTGTTTAGGGTTAGGAAACTGCAATTTTTTTTTTCTTACAAAGCCCTCATTTTCTTTATTTCGAGCTTGAAGATTATATTTTCTCCGTTTTCATATGAAAATAATGTCCCCCCAACAGGATAGAAATAGATATAATGCATTTTTTGAAATCATAATCATTGTCATATGTTATCTAATGTTAATTTTTAATATTATATACCCAATTATACTTTTATTTTATCAATTGATTTAGGTCACGTTCACCTAGACGTCGTTCTTACTCCAGATCTAGATCTCGTGGACGGCGTTCACGTTCTTATTCTAGATCACGTTCTCGTTCACGATCAGGAAGTAAGAGTTCAAGAGGACATTCAAAGTCAGCCAGTCGTTCAAGATCATAAGGTAATATTAATAATTTAGGCTGTGTTCATATAGAATGGATGATTTCACTTAAAAAGGATATTTTAATTAACTTGTAAAACATAGACTTTTGATGAATAAGATAGTTCTCCATTTTATAAAATAAACTCTTTTTCCATAGATAATATAATAACAGTGGATTGGCCATCAGCTTTCTCTGATTGTACCTGATTGATATGCTACAGGGTTACCCATTTATTAATTATTATATATTTTTACCAAACAACAATAGTTTTTTTTCCATATGTTTTCATTAATTTGAATTTTGATTTTTTTTTTTTTTTAGGTGTGATTTACAACAATTTTATTACGGAAATCAACATTTTTAGTTTATTCTACTGATATCAACCGTAAAATTTGTTTTATACCATGATCATAATTTCTTAACATTTTATGCCATTTATAAACCTCAAAATAATTGTAAGTTGAAATAAAAATATATAATAATCATTTTGTAGCCCAAATTTTAGTTTTTTTTTTCTTGACGACTTTATGTATTTAATTTACATGGGTTATAGTCTTACAACAAATTATAATTCTTATATTTATATTTTAAGAGGGGTTTTTTTTAAGTACAGTGAATAGCTTATCTTAACCACTATTTTCTAATATGCAATTATATTTGTTGTAAGACTCATTAATCAAATTGTAATAAAACATTTCAATGTGGTTCAGATAGGTTCTCTTTCTAATTAATTATATCTTCATAAAAATAAGTGCAGTTCTATAGTAATTTAATGCATTCACATTTATAATTGGTCATATTTTGAAAATATTGAGTTGTAATTAATAAAGTGACTTATAACAACTGATAATTATTCTATATGACGGTAATAAGTTTAAAAATGTATCAAGTGATTATAAATAATATGAGCTCTTGTTTTATTTTCGTGACTTATTTATATTTTTTTTATTGACGAATATAATATTTTATTATGTATTATATGATTATACAACATGTAAAATATTAATAAAAAAAAAAGTAATTTAATTCTATTGTTATTAATTTAATATTATGCTTTTTAATGTATGTATTGGATTGATGTATATCAAAGGTTCTCAGAGTGGGTCGCGATCATATTTTTAATGGGTCGCATATTTTTTAGATTATGATTGGACCGAAGGATGTTTTGATTTTACAATGATGTTTATTTTATTTTTTTCTATCTGAACAACTTTTACTGGACATTTTACTCTGATTTATAAGAACTTTTTTTTGAAAGGAAATTGGACTGTGTAGATAATTTATAGAAAGGTCATTTTTTGATTTTCCCAAGTTTTCATTTTCTCAATATATTGAAAAATCAGGAAAATGTATAAAATGTAGATATTAGTTAAAAATGTAACTTTTTTTTTCCTTGTAATCAAATTTATTACCAGCAAATTGGATCTATATTAGCAAATGAGACTATGGGATTGAACAAACTTCATTAATCATCATCCAGAAATGAATAATAAACGAAAAAAAATCATTGATATTGTGGATTGTCTAAATTTAAATTATTTCCAAAATGGGTGGGTTGTACTATAACAAGATTGGGAACCTCTGATGTATATAGCTTGTAGAGGTTATATAAAGTATTTTATATTTTAATTTTTATGTGAGAGACTATATAATGTACAAAATATTTATATAATTTAGTTTTAATAAATTTCATTGTTAAAGGCTTATCCTTTAACATGACTATAAAACAAGATTATTTAAAAACCACATCATTTTCACTGTTTTGATAATTCAATTTCCCTGATTGTTACATAAATATAGCTCAAAAAATATTTTACATTTTTTTCTTTCTAATTTTCTCCAAAAATAAGAACTATTATGTCATACTATATGTATATCTTTATGTCACTTACTGGCCTTCTGGAATTAATGTGTTCAAACTTTAGAATTGCAAGTTAAGCAGAAGCTATGCAATTTTAGTTGAATTACGGGATTAGGGTCAGCTGTCTTAGCTTCATACACACCAATACAGACTCTTCAAATGGTGATAAATTATGTTTTGTATATGCGTAGTGTAAGTACCTTTTGGGGTTTCTATTTTCAGTCACCTTCCTGATGATTTCTTTGCTCCAATTTCATGTTTTTACAGGATATACTGGGTTTTAACAGGCACAAAAAATAATTAAGGAGATAGAATGTATGTATATATATATATATATGAATAGTAATGTTTGGCTTAAATTTATAGTTACTATCAAACTATTTGATAGTTTATAGCATTATATTTATTCTATAGTTAATAATATAGATTTATATATTCAGATTTTCTAGCAGAATATATATTAATTTAAATGGTTGATGAAATTTAATTTGACAATCTTAGTGATCCCTGACAATCTTAAGTCAGTCAGATGAAATACTCAAATAGACATTTGATTGAAAGACAAAGAATAATACCAATTTATGAAAAATATATTGTACTAATACCGTATGTTTTTAATTATATTAATATATTTATGTTAATATTTATTTTAACGTATTAAATTTATTACAATTGTATACGATTTTGGAATCAAAACTAAACAATCAAAAAATATAAATAAAAAATGATATGGTTAATAAATGGGAAAAAAAGTCTTAGTAAATTAATACCAAGGTCAAGGGGCTTTTTTATCATTAATTCGTAAAAAGAAACGTGTAATTTTGATCTAATCCGATCCATCATAAAGGAACCTGATTAGTAATAAAAAGATTTAAACGGTCAAATGGAAGTTATCCGCGAAATAAATTTAAGTGGATAGTTAAAAACTACTGGACTTGTAAGTTTAAATTTTTGTTTACAAATAATGTACAAAGTTTAGTTAGAAAATATTGAAGTTGTGCGGATAAGTTCGCCAGCCTGAATTTAATGTTTACGATTAATATTTGCTTACTAAGGCGGTTTGGTAGCTGTTTCGAATTTATATAAACAATTAATGCCACGTGTTTTATGAGTTAAACCGACGGCCTTATGAATAAATTTATTTTGATTCATTGTTGCCAAACTACTAGTCGACGAATTGGTTTCGAACGCAGTTCGAGGATTGCGTAAACATACTTTGACATTTACATTAACTACACGCACACCCATAATTTTTTACTAACAATATTTTTATATTCGGAATACGATAAATAAAAATACGGTTTATCAACTGGTAAATACATTAAACAGGTTGTGCCAACACGTTGAGCAGTATTTGAACCCAAGGCCAACTGAACACTTGCCACGCCGTAGCTAACAAATGAATGATTTTTTCTAAATACCATTGTATGTCCGCTGGCGTTACTGACTGCCCGAGGTAAGACAGCATTTTCAAGACTAGGATTCCCAGTATCTGCGTCATCAGCATTTTCCCCAGTGCCCGGAAACGCTCGTTTCTTGGCCGGGGGACCGCCTGTACTATTTGACGTTGAGGGCACGGCGGGCGTAACATTACTTGACATTTGTTTACTAGGTTGGTATAGAGTCGTTCTGTCTCGAGACGTTGACGGCCTGTTTAAATCGAAATCAACTGTGCTCGCTGTTATATATGTTAAATTACGACCCGGGTATACTTTATATATATATATGCAAATTGCGGCCTGGGTATTTTTTTAAACAATATATGACTAAATACTTTTTACAAAATCAATATTTTCTTTCCCATTTTAAAAACTTAGGACTGACAATATAATTCTATTAATGTGCATGTAATTACAATTGTATAGTTAAAAATATTGGTTTTGTATTTTTTTTTTTTGTGAATCTTAAAAATTCGTTTTTACTAAACCAAACAAAATACACACAAAGCTACGATTACAAAATGCACACTAGCGGCTAGTAATATTACATTAGTGAACACATTATTATCTACATTGTGGATAACTAAACTTTAAATTGTACAAGCGATAGGAAATCGGAATATCCGGTCTACAATTTATGTACATTTCAAAAATACCAGTAGACTGCAGTACAATTTAAGATTACCTAGTAATTGCTCTACGATACAGATAATTCCTGTGTTCGATAATAAAAGTTATGACGTTTTTACGTTGCTATGTGTGTGTATTTATTTTTAAATTATTTAGGCATATGTACAAAATATACTCGGGACGCAATTTACAGCGACCCAACAAACGATATCCACGTTATTATTTATTCATTATTTTGTTGATAACGCTCTGTAAAATATACCTATCAATATAGTTATATGCATTGATTCGTACACAGAGGCGGATAGGCCATCCCGGGACTTACATCGACGAAAAATGCTGCAATTGTACAATTTACATAAGCACGAATATTCAAAGTAACAACAAAATACGATAATACTGTATTTGATATTTAAATCGTAATAAATTAACATCGTATGACTATTAAATTATCTTTATATCCCCAGTACACCTTTTTCACAAGCAGATACGCGCGGCCGCGTTATCGATCGACCATCATCACTAGTGTTTATCACTGACTCCGTGATGATTGTTACATATCCGGGTACCTATAATTTGCTATACTGCTATAGCGCGGGCTAATGTCAATTACCACCCGTGATATCGCAGGTAAAAATCACCCGTGACTACATACGTAAGTTCCTACACGAATGACAATTATAACGAATACAAATAACAAGTTTCCTTTCCATTTCATTCAGACTTATTGGACTGACAACTAACTCGGTGTGGTTAAAATTTGTTTGGTTTTGTGTTTTGTATATTTTGTTATAATAATATTTGAAAGAAAAAAAAATAAAACGTCCTAGGATAATGGGGACGGGTGCAGCCACTATTATAGATAATTTAATGTATACCTGTAAGCAACGATAAACCATTACGAAAAAAAGGATTCTGAATGGAGTTCAATTGATAGTGATGCTTTGTCAACAATATATGTCTTTTTATAGTAAATTAATTAAATAGGTATTATTTATTTTCTTTATCAATATTTATTTAATGTTGCACCTTCCGAATTTCCAAATTTTCCTACGTTTTTTCTTGTTTTCTCGTGTTTTATCCCGGTTTTTCACATTTGCTAGGAAAACTCTTGAGAAAATCGAAAAATGACCTCCTTAAAGTACATTTTCAGTCAAATTTCTTTTCATAGAAATTGTTATTATTAAATTGGAGCAAAATTGCTGATAGAAAAGTTGTGCACAAAATAAACATTTTTGTAAAACCATAAGCTTGTTCGCTCCACTCTAATCTAAAACGTATATGTTTTTTTTTCGTGTCGAAACTTACATAATATGAATTCTGCTATGCTTTGTGTAAGAACTTACCGAGTCCATATAGTACCATGAAATTACTCAAAGCGACCACGTTAAAAAGTATAATTATCATGGTCAAAAAATATATAATTATTTAGTTAATTATTAATTTTGTATTTTATATTTATATAAAAAAAAAATTTAGTTCTGTAATAAATAAATATTAAATATTCGTATATTTTTTGCCATACATTATAGTTGTTCAATCTTCGGAAATCCTACAAAAATATAATATACAGTGAAATCTCCTTATAACGGAATCGCTCGGTACCAACTAATTTTTCCGTTATAGGGAGACTAATACATACGGGTTATAGGTTATGCAGAACTGTTTTAAGATTTCCGCCTTATAGCCTATAGGGGAGGTCAGCTATAAGCAGGTTTCACTTTTTATCTGTGGCCCGAAATTTCGGTTAAACGTTTTAATTTAGTAACTGTCTAACAATTATTTTATATTCCGACACAGAAAAAAAACATTGTTACAAGGAGAACACGATTTTTCGGCGAAGCCTTTACACAGGATTGTTGCCGTTTTCGGCATTCAAAAAAAGTGTTGGTCTGGCTCGTGATTGGGCCTCTGGCGCAGTGATTTACAATGGGCCCACACAAACTTATTTTTGACCTAAAAAAATTTACAGTGATTATCAATTAAAAATAATTACTTTTAACTTTTTTGTCATAATTATAACAATTTAAATCATAATAAACAAAGTAATTTTTATATTATATTTTTAATAATACATTTTACATTTATACACTTTATGTCTTTATATATAAAATACTTAATTTAAAAATTGTAATTTTTTTAATTCATTACTGGGATATCCTAACATATTTATAATTTCATCTTTATTTATAAACTCAATCAAGTCTTCAACAAATAGGCATGTTAAAGAATCCAAATATTGTTTACTAAAAAAAGAATGAAGTTTGGTTTTCAAAATTTTAAGTTAAGAGAATACTCTTTCACACTTAATTTGGGTGCATGCAAGTATGAGAACATATTTAAATACTATGTACACTGTGTTATGTTGAATAATCCATATTTTGTTGTTAGTTCAAAAAGGATTTTAAACACATTCGCAAAACAGTTATACACAGTCTAGTACACAGTCAGTTAGTTACAGTCTTGTTGTTTTAAACGATCATCGTTTTCTTTCTCAGAATCTTTTAGTATTAAATCTTCTGTTATATCATTAGTCTCGCTGTACACAGATCTCCACGAGGTAGAAAAGCTTTGATATTGTTCAGTAAATTGTTTAAGTTCAATAAATAATGTTTTTCTGTCTATGCAAGCTAATTCAGATAATTTATGTGTCATGCATTTAACGGACAATCGTCTATTGAAAGTAAAGTTATTTCCTTATATTTCACATGATCCAACCAAGAAATATCTAATAACAAAGCCTTATTTGGTACAATTGTGTTACTAATAGACATTTTGATTGTATTTAAAATTTGAAAGTAAATTGTTTTTGTCTCTTAGTACATTTTCTTGTTTCATTTTGCGATAATTCTCCAGATTTTTTCTTTTTAATTCAAAATATTCTTGCAATTCCACTAATGAATTATAAGTAAAAATATCGTTAACTTTTTTTGTAAAAACCTTATATTTATAATAGAGTGTAAGCCAGATACAACCGTTTTTTTTTTTTTTTTTAAATCAATTTTAGATTCAGAGCGTATCGATAAAAGTATAATATAGGAATTGGTTTTACTACGCTATATGAAAAACGACACGCACGGTACGTGCGCACGAAAAAGATTACAACGACGACGCGAAGTCCGTAAAGTTTATCCGATCGATTTCGGACCTGTACACATAATTTGCAAGTAATTTGCAAATCTATTTTTAGAATTTGTCAACTTTAACTTTGGGAATTATTTCAAAACTGGAGAAGGGGGGTGGACAACTTCACGTAGCCCATCTACATCGTCCGATCGATTTCGGACCAATGCCAATATTTTGGCGAGTGGTTAGCAATAATTTGCAAACTCATTTTCAGAATTTGCAAATCGCATGACGATTTTATATTACTTTTAGATTATACGCGAACTTCGCGTAACCTCCATTTTAAAAATACTATCGAATGATTACAAGTTGAGTTTGGTTAATTACAAATCCTGTTTCGTATTTTTAGTCTTTATTACTTTATTATCTCTAATTTCGTGATACTTGTATACAAATATAAACTAACTGTACATATTTTAAATTTACAAATCAATCAGACAAAGTTGGTTAAAAAAATCTGAAAAAAATTATTTTAAAATTTTAAATTATCCACTACCCTGAAAATTTCATTTCACAGTTAGGGGACAACTCCACCCGTGCATCGTTAGATGACAGAGTGAGAACAAAAAAGATGGTTAAATTTATTTCACTTATTAAAACGACAAGTAAACTTTTTTTTGTAAAAGACGTAGGTTTCGAGTAAAACTTTTATACATTATCTATAATTTACAGTAAGTAAATTTGTAATATATTACATATTATATATTTATATATCACAGGGGTGGCCAGCGAGAAGAGACTATTATTTATTTATTAATAAATACGGAAGAGTCAAAATGAAAAAAAAAAAATCATATTAATATATATATATATAAGATAAAATATCAATATATATAATAAAATGTGTAGAATTTTCGGAACATATTTTTGCGAGTCTTTGTAATCGACAATGAAAAAAAAAATCTAAACATCGCTCAATTTTAACGGAATGATTGGTGGTTTATCAACGTATAAATCTGACTTCAAAAAACTTGCAAAAAAAAAAATGAACACGCAACAAATAAGATATTAATTAACGATTAAAAATACGTTGAAATTAAAAAAAAATAATATGTATTTAAATATTATATCGAAAACGCTATGCAGGTATCTATTAACTGAATTATGGGTATCATTAGGAAATTAGAAATTTCCTTTATTACATTTATGGAAAAAAAAAAAAGAGGACTAAGACTTCAGTATAAATGATTGAAAACATGTTATTCAAAAAAACTCTTATGGACTTTTTTGTAAATACTGTGTGGTTTTCGCTTTTGCTGCAGGCGGTATTTGATCACAGCTTTTAGGCGGTCTTTGTTTTAACGAATTTTCAAAACTGGAAGAAAGTTACAGAAGTATAAATTATAATTTAGAAAAATGATTACTTGTTTAAAAATAAATGTTAGGTTTTATCAGTTCATAATGGTTTTGAATATCACAAAACTTCTGGCTGGCTGCGATGAATATACATATCTCCCCCCCCAAATGGAAATTCCTGTCTACGCCACTGCTTCCCACCTACAACAGTGGCGCACACCCATCGGCAGTATTGGCTGCTCTTTGTTCGTTGACATTTATACTTACGAGTTCCTAGGAAAATCGGCGACCGTGGTCTGTAACTGAATAATTGTCCTTCGGGTGTCGAAGGTGTGCGGTGTGCACAGTTTAGGTAACTCCAGTCGTGTAGCGCAGCAGCGGTTTCGTCTCCGGGGTGGCCGTGTTATGTTTTTTCATGTGCGCGTGCTACGCGACTGTGCACTGTGCAGCGTCGTTAATTTTCGGCGCGTGAAATTCGATTTATTGTTTCTTTTACCTACGGCGGAATCGGCGCGCGGCGTATTATTCAATTTATATAGTGCCGCCGCGATAATATTTCGTTAACAATTATCATGTTTGTCGGTGATGCGGTTCCGGAATAAATATTCCATGGAAGAACCGACGCGGGTCGACTACCAACACACCGTGGAGACTGTGGTAAGGTATGTCCACACACTAGTGCGTTTTCGTTTTCGACTGTCGATTCCACTTGCGTTTCAACTTGCTCTTCGTCATTCGACAAGCGCATGCGATTGTTGAGCGCTTTAAACGCACGTATTTTTCTGTGCACACCTCACAGGCGCCTCTACACCGGCAGTCGTTTTTCACCGTGCGGTATAGTTGAAACTGGAAGTATGTCGCATTCTAGTTTACTTCTCGGTATTTCTGCGGCGTACTATATTATCGTGAACGCGACAAAGAAAACGTGAGAATAAGCGTTCCAAATGGATAGACAATTGTTTTCAAACACGAAACTTCGGTATTATTAACGGTTCGCAATTGGACGAAGACTTTCCGTTTGGAAACTTCACGCGAAATTTCTTTTCGTTATTAGAAATGATCGAGCCCGAAATTGTAAAACAGAATACCAGATTTAGAGAGGCAGTACCGCTAAACATAAAATTTGTTAACAACACTTCGGTATTTATTACCGCTGGTGATTCATTTTCATCTCTAATGCACCTATTTAGAGTTTCCAAACGGTACCTATGTATTTATTTATAATATATGTTAAATGTTTAATACGGATACGCATTTATTCATTTCTACATACATATAAACTATTGATTTTATGTATAATTTATACATTATCAGAGAACAGAATCGAAGCGTTTAAATTTAATTATCAATTGCATAACGTAAAAATATTTCCACCAAACCCGGGGAAGAAAAGTATTTTTAGAATCTATGTTTTCATCGCTATTTAGGTACACTGTTTAGGTATGCGTGTTATTTTAGATTTAACAAAACCACGAATAAACAATTTCAAAAATTATGTACATACCGTTAGAGACTTTTACTTGTGTAGATGTAATGAAATCGGAGTTCTCCGGATTTTCGTGTTCTTGTTCACTGTCCGCTGTTCCTCTAGGCGTCGAACAATCCGCAGCAAAAAGGAGTGAGGCGCATACGCGAACCGCGATGAGACGTTGGTTTCATCAGCACCCGAACCAGATTTTCTATTAAGCGACTTTTGGCGCTCTTTCGGAAAATAAAAACGCAAGTTTTTGATTTTGATTTTCACGGCGGATACACCGATGTTAAATTCATTAGCAACACGTTCTAACGCATCGTTTATTTTAATTGTGTTGCAATAATCGGTATGATTTGCGTCCCGTAAAAGTTTTGCTGCTTTATACGCTTCGATAAATTGTAACGTTCGATTTTCGTCCATTATTATGAGCAACACACACGATATAAACGGAAAAAATTATAATGATACAAATAAAAATACTGAAATAAATAATAAAACAATTACGGAAGTCGCAATCAAATCGCACGAAAAATCCACTGGGCTTGGAAACACGTGTTTTGTCGCGTGCTGAACAAAACTTTTCGCCGTTCAACCCGATGGACGCATGCGTTAACGAATGCGCTTCGTTCGTCATCGCATGCGCTTGTCGCAAACAAAAACGCACTAGTGTGGACACACCTGTACGGCGACGCGCTACTTGCGTTACTTATTATTTTCGCCGCTGGCAAGTTGGAAATTGAATACATTTAGCTGATAACGGAGATAATAGATGGCGCTGATTATTCCGTCGGTATATTGAATTGCGTATTTTCAATCGCTCGTAAAACCGAATTTGACAACATTATTGCGATATCCGGACGGACCCAATAACATAAAGTATAATTATAATTAACGGTTGAATTCCGTCTAATGGGTGACGGAAAACAATTTCAAAATATCGTAGAATGTCTTACATAATATTTGCTCCGGCACGGTAGGTACACCGTATTATCATAAGCGCAAACAGGAGGGTTTTGAGGACTTAACTCCCCGAAAATGTCAAAGTCAAATTTGTTCTGTCATTTTTTATATTCTTTGAATTTAATATTTGCAAATACATAAATAAAAATAAGTATACCAAAGTATTTACGTGTGTGTATAATATGCGTAATGTATATATTGTATATAATAAACAGTTGAGAGCATAATATCTAATTATTAGGTACAGATTATAGTTTGTAACAAGTTTATCGTATAGATCTATTGTAGTTTGTAATAAAGTAAAAGTGTAATATTTGAAACCAAGCGTAGCGAGTAAAAATTGTTTAGGGATGTTTACACATGTATGACACCTTCTGTTGTGATCTGTTATCAGGACTTCAGTACCCTCAAATTTCAAACGCTAGTCGCGCCTATGTTTTCTACCCAGACAATTAATTCAAGATCCGATTTTGGATTGTTTCATTTTTCACTCCTTTTCGATGACACCCTACGGCTTTTGGGTATTAGAAAAAATATCGAAAACAACTGAAGAGGTTTACTATTCATAAAGCCACCGTAAAATGCATATTAGAATTACTTTATTTTAATCATTCGGCAATTATTTTTAGACGCTACGGGCACGCTGCCGCAGGATCTGAAAATACTGTGGATATGTGATAAGCGGTCGGAAAATGTGAAATTCGATCACGTATCAATTGTCTAGATGGATATCTGAAAATATATTATATCAGACGTTTTTCAATATTCTAAAGTTTTTAAAGTATTTTTCACGTTAGCCAATAGCCCGTAGAGTTCAACCAATAATATTAGATACTATTTTGCTATTATTCGTGGGTAGTCATTATTGAAATATCGTCATTGACAATTATCGAATTTTGAATGTTTACCTATTATAATAGATACACATACGTGCATCGTCTTGTATTTTTCATTTAATCGGCAATCGGTATCTATATTTGTATTTTATTTGACCAATGTCCACTTAAAAAAAGAGGTTAGCGGTAATAAATGCTTTTATTTAAATTTCGGAAAATTACCTGGAAATCATCCAAGATGTTTAAGATGTTAACATACTTAAGTACAAAACCAAAGCGTGGAATGTATTGGTTTTACTGTGTTTGAGGTTTTTTTTTATGCGTTTGGAAACAACTTTTCTATACCAGAAATTTGTCTCTAATCAATAATTTTATAGGAACAATCTTGTAACTTTTTTGATCTGATTAGTTTATTGAGGATGTCGCTTTTGAGTTGTTTTAAAGTTGTCTTGATAAATTATAATTTTTTTTTTATTTCTGGGTTACCTTGGCACATAATTCGCTGGCCGTAACGAAAAAATTCGTATCTCACGGGTAGGTTTTGGGGCATTAACGATTTCATTATTTTCGATATTAAATTTTTCATTGTAATACGGTTAAAAATAATCGTAGAGACCGAAAGTTTTCACAGATTATCAATCGGGTATATTAGTATTTTCTAGACGTAGGAAAATGTTCAAACCATTCTGTCGATTTCTGAGCTCTATGTATAGAGACGTTTTCGAGTTTTTTTAAATTTTGATTTAATATACGTGGATAAAATTTGAAAATTATTAACACTATCGGTTCATCACAATTCACTAGTCTTATTAGATGTTATAAAAAAAAAAAAAAAAAAACATCATCGAGCGTAATGTACCTAGTAGTTTTTTTTTTTTTTTTGTAAGCGATCTCGCATGTTTATGAACACCAAAACGAATAATATACATACAGGTACGGTTTGTATAATATATATAGGGTTATACACACACGGCCAGCCTACTTCTTGAACGCTTGCAGTATCGATCGATCGACGGCAAATATTTTATCATTCGTCTGTTCGTTTTCTATAATTGCTACCTACCCTATAACTTGTATCGCCGAATAAAGTATTTCGAAATCGATTATGCGACGCATAATCTGTGCTCGGAGGCGAGTCTACGGCGAACATTATATTATATGTATTTACCGAACGTGCTTTTCTCCCTCGAGCATTTTCTCCCCCATGCAACGTATGATATTGTACGCGACGTCCACGGGGCCGTATTTAAAACTCAATAGGTATATTATACCGTCGAGATTAGGATTAGACGCTCGGTTAATATCACGCGATCAACGGGAGAGTGACACAGAACGTTGCAGGGTACAGGAGGTGTGCGTACTCGTATGCGTACGCGTCTATGTACGCGCCCGACGCAATAAAAAAAAAATAAAAAAAAAAAAAAAAAAAAAAAAAGCCGTCGAAATGATTTTCAAAATTCCTTTGAACCCCCGGATAGGCTATAGGGTGTATACGATACGAATACGTCGCATGATGTCGTTTAACCAACTGCAATATACATTATGAAATATTATATGCACCCCGATTATGTATACGCCGTGTACGCGTATTACCTTGCACACGCCACGTAAAAAATATCCGGCAATAAATAATAATAATAATAATAAACGTGTAGGTACACGCCGAATGCAATATTATGATATACACGCCCATTCGTGCCGTCGTTTATTATACAATATTATATTTGGTTGCCGATGTTCTAAACCAAATTAAACGTTATTATATGTACACAATATACATTATACAGGGTCTCCCATATTTTATAATGTCACGGTCAAACTTTTCGTGAAATGTCTATTTTTTTCAAAAGATGACTTACTTAAGGACTCTTTGAATCGTACATTCTAAAATGTTACACTGTCCTTATTTTGTTCACCCTTATATTTGTGCATGACGCCCGTCTGGACACTTTTGATTTTCAAATAGCAACATAAAAACTCCTCGTACCGTTTGACAGAATTTTACATCGGCTATCGACCTGACGCAACCACATTTGTCGCCTCTTGCGACCTCACGGTACCAAAGGGAGCGTGTTAAAAATATAAATACGTACCTAATTAATATTATTGTATATAATATTACAATGTAAAGTATTATAGCCCATTTACTTATCGAATGTTTAAATGGTATATAATAGTAAAATAATGACGAATCTCCCTTGCTTGTTTTTTTTAGATTTGATAGAAAAAAGAAAGGTAAGATAATGGGGACGGGTGTAGCCACTGATGTGGGTGGGAAGTTGGGAAGGAAGGATATAGACGGGAATTACATGTATATCTGTAGGTAACGATAAACCATTGCTTACGAAAAAACGATTCTGAGCGGAGTTCAGTTGATAATGATGCTTTGTCAACAATATATAGTCATTTTATAGTGAAAAAAAAAATTAAATAGGCTTAATATATATTCTTTAATGAAATTTGTTTAAAGTTGAACCAAGTTTTCCAATTTTCCTACGTTTTTCCCATGTTTTATCTCGGTTTTTCACATTTGCTGGGAAAACTCTTGAAAAAATCGAGAAATGATCTCCTTAAAAGACCTCTCCACGCCGATTTCCTTTCAGAAAAGGTGCTACACTTAAAAATTCGAGCAAATCGTCTGGTAGAAAATTGCGCACAGATAAAAAAAAAAAAATAAATATATTTGTAAAATCATAATCTTCTTCGCTCCACTCAGAATCTAAAATAAAGGAAATGGCGAAGGACAAAATCTCGTTTTCAGTACGGTTGATCGATCGACGGTACCAAATCGTTTATTTAAATTTATCTTATCAAGACGCATCATTGTGAACCTCTAGAGAAAATCTGTCTGTTATCTATTTCCACTGTCTTACTATGCCCCACCACCATCTGCCAATTACATTGTTTTAAACGCGAACAATGGATAGAGGTTTCCGGTCTTGAATTTTAGTTGAGTAATATTTAAATTATTCGCCAAAATGGCGATTTCTGCGATTGTTTATTATTTGCGATTATGTATTTTTGAAGGTTTCTTCAGATTTTTTAAAAACAAACAATAGTGACATCGACGTATTATATGCCTCTGTGTAAATGTAGGAGTATCGTGTATATAATTATACAAAGAGTATATTATTCGGTAATCTTGACGACTTAGTATTTGTGCGGCTCTACTGTTCCGTTGGGGTTAACTTACAGTTACTCACCTTGATTAAATGACGTGACGAACAAAACGAAAAGTATTCCGTTCAGTTACTGGGGTATAGATATAGTAACTTATAGGGTGATGCAACTCATACGAGTACATTATATATAGTCGAGTTACCCACTAATTCAAAATTATATTTTTAACCCCTATGTAATCTTAAGATAATTACAAATTAACAAAAACTGCGCAATTATCTTAAAATTGTATATCAGTAGGTAATATGTACAAATTAAATATATTTCGAAACAGCATTAAAAATAAACGTTTATTTTATAACACTTAAATTTATATTTGCTATGATATATTATTACTATTACATATTGTGTCGACTACTTACATAATAATAGGACAAACGATTCACCAAAAACCTAAAAGAAAAAAAATTCGAAATTCTATTAATTTTCGTATTTGAATTATATTCTGAGCTGAGTGAGGGATTTAGTATATTTGTTTCAGGGTAGGTTTAGC